AATAGAAGCTTCCAAAATAAAATAAAAAAAAACTTGTTTTTTTTGTCGAAAAATGGCAATCCAAAAAAAAGGATCAAATAGAAAAATTAGATGCAAAAAAAATAAACACACTCACATCAAGAGAAAAGATCATCAGAATTCAAAACTATTGTGTCAGATTTGAATTGTGAGTGAGAAAACCCAAGGGTGCATGCATATTTTAAAACCAGGGCCCGACCAAAACATTCAATGTGGTAACATTATTTTTGGGCATCCATTCTTTCCAAAACCATTTGAACCAACCATGATGATAATGAAGCATTATGGGGGAAAAAAAAGCCAAGTTAGAAAAAAAAAAAAAAAATTTTGGACAAGAATGTGTCAGTCAGACATTTTGACTATATGGTCTGACTAAATGTAAGAATATTTTGTTTTTTCTATCATTATTTGTTAGACACTAGGATTAGAGAATTCAACACAGACGTACATACATGCACAAAAAGGCAGTGAGAGAAAAACGAAATGAATATGAATAAGAATAAGAATTTTTTTTTGCAAATAAAAGTTACATCATCATCATTGTCAGAAGAAAAAATGGTTTTTCTTGTTTTATTAGTTGGAATTATATAACAAAACAACAATGAACCTGTCTGTCTGCCTATCTGTTCCAAACCAATGATGATGATGATGATGATGATTTGAACACGGAATTCAAATGCTTGTTGTCTTTTTCTCAACCAAAAGTAATAATAATAATAATAATAAATATATTGGAACATCAAAATGTGACAAATATAAAAGAAAAATAATAACGTAATAAATTCTCTTTAGAATAAAAAAAAAAATAAAAAAAAACAAGAATCGATTCTTCAAATTTAGTATGTGAGACCTGATTGGTATTGACGACTACTATTATTATTGTTAGTTTGAATGTTATATAAGAATTAAATCAATAATAACGATTATTATGACTGTAAATCAATGATAATGATAATGATAATATGATTATTTGTCAAACTATCTATCTATCTAGCTTCCTTTAATAATATTTACCTCTCTTGTTGTTGTTGTTGTTTGTTGCTGCTGCTGTTGTCAAAGATTTTGTTTCATTTCTTCAAGTCATTTCAAACAACAATAACGACAAAATAAAATAAATAAATAAATGAATGAATGGTGACATTCTTAAATATCAGGAAACTTACTTTACTTTCTTATTATTATTCTTCTTTTTCATCAAATTCAATTCGTTTTTCATTTGTCGTTTTTCTCTTTCAGATGCATTTTCCAGAAGAGTGTGTGTGTGTGTGTGTGTGTGTGTGTGTGATAGAGAAAAACAAACTAAACAAAACAAAATTATAGAAAAAGAGACAAAGCAACGACAAATTTTTCTCTCTATTTATGTGTGTGTGTTTGTGTGTATGATTTCAAGTGTATGAAAAACAATCTATTGAACGTTCGGTCAGAATGTGATATACACAAACACACCCATAACACTTGGAACCCTCAGGATAGAGAATGAGAAAGAAAGGGGCACTATGTATGAGAACAAAAGAATTTTAGCTTCATTGTACAGTGTTTGTGTGTGTGCGACCAATTCAATATAAATGAAAACTGAGATATTATTGAACGAATTGAGGCATAATATTATTTTGTTTTTTGTTTTTTATTTGGTGAAAATTACAATTTCAAAAAACCAACTAAATACAATAGATAGATAGGACAATGGCTTGTTGTGGATGTCCTCATTCAATTTCAATACATCAAATTCACATACACAAACACAGACACAATTAAACAAACATTCTGTAAATTTCCAGAGGTAAAGCTTACATTTATTTTTATTTTTTTTTGTTGTTGTCGACTAATAGAATATAGAACAGCAAAGTGACAATATTGCCCCTAGTGGATCTTTTTTTTCTATTTTCTTTGTCATCATCATTGATTTTTTTGCCCTTTCTCGCCGAATTGGAGTTGGAAAACAAAAAAAAAAAAATTGAAAAGAGTCTAGGAACACACAGCCTGTAAATTGACATTTTGGACTTTTAAAATAAAATTATAATGATGTAAAAAACGAACAAACGCTAACCACCCTTTTAGCACTGGCATATGGCATTATGAGAAGAAGAAAAAACATCTTTTTAGGATGTATTATAGAATCAAACAAGAGCACATCATCATCATTATCATCATAATAAAATCAATCAAATGCTGATGTTAAGAATAAGAGGAAAAACATTCGATAAAAAATGGTTCAAATCAACGAAATCAGTTATCCGAACAACAAAACAAAAAAATTCTGGTCATGATTGTTAATTATGTTTTTATGTAAAACTGGACGTCATATCACATGCACCAAAACACAACACAGTAAACGAATAGGACAAATGAAAATAGAAAAAATAGAAAAAAATCTCTAAACCAGAATTTCTATTTTTTTTTTTTTTTGGTTTAAAAAAATGCCCACAACAAACAAGCATGCAGAGAGAGATTCTTTCAAATTCATTTCTCTATTCATAATGTATGATAATAATGAAAATAATAATGAAAAATGAAAATTAATTTTCAACTTTCACACACAGACACACACACACACACACGGCATTCGTTTCGTTTTTTTTCTTCTTTTGGTATTTTTTCTGCACATGGTTATATTCAAATTGGTATGAATGGAAAAAAACTTTTGAATCGTGAAAATAATGCTATATTCTTGTACTTAAACACACACACACAAAATACTTTCATAAAATTCTCAAAAGGAATCACACATACAAACTGAGCCGCATGGATTCTATTATTACAGGAAAAAGAGAGAGAGAGAGAGAGGTTGACAGATGTCATCATACATATACAAAAACATTTACCAGTACAAAAGAATTTATTCGTCGAATCAAAATGAATTTATTGTTGAAAATGGAAATGATGATGATGATGATGACGAAATACAGTGTGAAGCAACAAAAAAAAGCGGCCATAACGAATCGTATTTTTTAATTAAAAAAATTACTATCTTTATTGTTTGTTACAGGAAAACATAAGCATCGCTATTTTTTTTACAGGCGTCAGCAAATCAACTTGAAATACTAACAAAATTTTTTTTTTCACATATACAATCATTAACGATGAATTCTATATATATATAATTGATAACGACTAATGTGTAATGAACGAATAGAGAAAAATTTCATTCGATTCTGATTGGATACAAATTAAAAATACCAGTATTACAAAAATGCCATACATATGTATTGTTATTGTCAATATACATTCACATACTATCAATCAGGTCTCAAATCCAATCATCTTCATCGGTGCCAGCAAGGTTGCGACATTTGGTAACAAGAAAAAGTTAGAATTAAAAGGAAATCAAATATTTTTTTTTGTTTGCTTCAATCACCGACAATCGAATCATATCGTGATGATTCGATGCTGGCAAATAGTTTACCACCATATATGGTGAGAATCAATGAATGAATTGGAAATCTGTGTATTGTGATTTACCTTGAAGATAATGATGATCAAAAGAAAAAAAAGAAAACCGTTAAATTTTGCCAACTGTTATAAATTAATAATTGGAATTGACTATTGAAAGCAATGGCAAAGTTTTTGCACTTTGATTGTATATAATACAATATTGCGTTCATTAAAAGAAAAAGTTACGAATACAATTCGATATGTTTTTCAATTCTTTTTGTCATCATATATGATTTTATTGAATATATATTATGATTCATAGAATTTGTGTCAAATCAAATAACCGGATTGGAATATTGAAACTTGAATTTGATCAATGTAGTAATGGTCTAGTGAACATTCATTTTCAATGATATTTTAATGGAACAAGAAAAGTTATTCCAAGATTGACTGTAACAATATTTTCAATAAAGTAAAACAAATTAATAAGGCATTTATTGTTAACATCAAAATAAAAATTCCTTAAAAACTTTTAATATTGTGTAATGAATCGAATCTGTCCACTTGAATGAATTTCGATGGCGATAAAAATCCTTTTTAAAGTTTAGATCAATCATCATCATTGGTCGTCATGTATGCAGGGAAAAGAAGGTGGCCATGATCATATTTCAAAAATCTGAAATATAATAAAAAAAAAATTTTCATCTTGATTCTTGATTTTTCTACTTAGTTGAATGAAAAACTTCTTGGCATTCTTGTGTGTGTGTGTGTGTATGTAATGTATAGCGGTATTCAGGTTCACAATCGTAACGACCTCGAACAAAAATGGTGATAACAAGAAAGTTGTTATCGGTCGATATGAAGCTTCGATTGTTGTTTGTTGTAAGTCCAATCGTTTTATGATTCATGACCATGTATTTTCCACCTGGTCTTGGCCAATTTGATGGTTTCCATCCCAAAAATGTTTGGAGGAAATGGAAATAAAATTTCTCTTTTACGATGTCCTTTACAGGACACATTACATGTATGTGTATTTTGTTTTGTAATTTTCATCAAATTTTGAACACTCAGCATCACTGATACTTGGATTTTATTTTTTTATGATGATGCTACATAATATGAAAATTCTGAACTGATTTTTTCTCTTTGGGTTCGCAGTTTGCAATATTTTTTTTCTCTCTCTTGTGTTTGTTTGATCAGATTTTGATCGATTTTTATCGTTGTCAGCAAAATTTTTTTTTCACTCTCATTATTTGTGTTATGGGTGTGTCTTCTGGTTGAATTGAATGGCCTAAAATTTTTCTCTAAAAAAAATATTCATTGGAATTTTATATTATCTTGTAATATTTAACATTTTGTTTTTTATTTGATTTGTTTTTGAATTTCCTGTCAAATTCAAAATCTTAAAGAAAAATGATGATGATGATAATATAAATGTGAAAAAACTGGCTAACCGAAAGGCGTCAAAATTCCATGTCATTTGTGTACGGGCAAAATAAACTTCGAATTTAATGTTTTTCTTTTTTTTACTCGTTTTTTTTCGTTAACAATATTCGAAAATTTATAGAATTTCATTGTTCGACTATTATAATAATGACAACAATGTGTATTGGTACCATTATTTGGCATCATTTTGACATTTTTTTTCTAAATTTTGAAACATTTCATTTTTTCGAATACTTTGCCTCATAACCGTTATATTTTTTTGTGAGTAATATTAATATTATGACTAGTTATATTTATGGAAAAATCCTTTTTTTTCTCAGTAGTATAACAAGCAGGAAAAAGAAGCAGTCAATTTAGTGAAATAAAACTTGTGATTCCATTTTTTTCTCCATCATTGGTGTTGCTGCATTGCATTGTTGTCTTTCGTTCTCTCCGGAATACATCGGCATGTCTGGCATAAAAATGTTTTCAATGCTGACGACTACTACATGGGCGGTAATTTTAATGGCCTCGTTATGGTTCTGGTCTGGTCCATTTCGTTGTTATTGTTATTCGGCCAAATACGACAATAATAACGATCAAGATTTAAATATCTATCATCATGATGAAAAAGATGTAAGAATAAAAAGTGCCGTTATTTCAAAATGGTCGGATGTTCAAAAGATTGTTTCGAGTCAAGCATTTCAAAATGATGATGACCGTATTGAGATTAACATTTTCCTATTGATATTGAATCCTAATGCCAGAAACCATCATCATCAACAAAAACGGATGTCAAAACATCGAAATAGCAAAAAAAGGAAACTTGGTGGCCATGATCATCATCATCAAAATGATGATGATAATAATAATGATAAGTATCAAAAGCAATATAGTGATGAACAAAAAGAAATCATCACACAGTTTCAATATTCGGCCACACATTTCCATTCGGTTACCTCCAAATATAATTTGATCAAGGATAATGATGTTGGACAGAAAAAAATTTTTCGTTTTATCATAATCGATAATGATGATGATGATGAAAATGGTCTACAAAAACAACATAAAAAGATGCTCAATTATTTACGTCAACATTCAACTATTAATGAACGAACAATCATTGATCAATGGCAACGTGAACGTGATCCTTTCATGTTGGTAAAATTGTCTAATCACCATCATGTTCAAATAATGAAAAACTATGTTCATCCACATGCAATTATGATGGTATTCTGGTATGGAAAGGTGTGTCGGCTTCCATTGCTAAAGTATTCTGAAACAAGCCAAAATCAAATATCCAATATGATCAATATGACAATCCTTTTTGTTTCAATGATATCGTTAATTTTTGGTCAACGAAAAAATTTACCATACCTTCAACAATTAACGTCGTTGCCCGCTTTATTATATCCGATTGGTTTTGTTTGGAATCAAATTCATGGTAGTTCAAGTAACGGTGGACAATCACATTCATCTTTTTTATCGATCATTCAGTTTAGTCCTCGTTCTAATGGACAATTTTTATCGGAAAGCTTATTTATAATGGCAGCCAATTTTACTTTTTCATATTGCCTTTATATGTGTACTGATTGGTTTTCGAATCCAGTTGAAAAATTGAAACCTGATGCATCAAACAAATTCAATAGTGGAAAAGTTATTGGACATAACAGTAAAAATAAAAAAAGCCTTATAACTTATTTGATCATTATAATGGCTATATCTTTTTGGATTGTCAATTCTGTTTTCAAAATGAAATTAGGACAATAAATAGAATATATAATACGAACACTCGGTAATCCTTGAAGGATAATTGAATTTTTTTCAACACAATTTATATATTTCATACAAGAAAATAAATTATTAAAAGTTTTTTTTTCAATATGATGATAAATGTTATTGTTGAATTCGTCATTTAGTAACTCAAAATATTGATGACTATGATGAAATGATTAATTTTACAATATAAAACCTAAAGCTTTCACTAGATATTTATGTTTAAAAAATGACATATTTAAGACAATTTTTTACAAAAACATAATTGTCGTGCGGGCACCACCACCATTCGAGTCGATAAAAATCAATAATTTGGAAAAAAAATCCTATGGTTAAAACAAACGAAATCAAATTCGATATTCTCGATTTTTTTCACTCTTTCTTTCTTTTTAGATTCATTTATTTGAATAATACAAACACACACATACACACCCATGCAAATCTTTATGAGGAAATTCGTGATATGCATCCCATTTCAATCATTGAATTTTTTTTCCTTTTTTTCCCGTTTTATTCTTGTTTTCCATTATACTTTATCATTTTATCAAACATTTTCAGATGATGATGAAGATGAAATTTATTAAATTGTGTTTAGTGTGTGTGTGTGTGTGTGTTCGTGTTTATGTGTACAAACAAGAAAACTTTGAAATCAAATTTTTAAAATGCTGATCAAAAGAACGGAAACGACAATTTTTTCTAACAATGAAAAAGAGAAAGAAAAAAAATCAATATTATTGATTGACATTTTTCTGTTTGAAGTGTGATTGTTATTCTTACGTTGAAGATTCTATAGAATTCAAGAGCTAAAGAAGAAAAGCATACGAAAATCACTTTTTATTTCATTCCATTTTATTTTATAAGTAATTGTTGACATTTATGAAAAAAACCTGCATTAATTTTCTTTTGATTTTTTTTCTTACATCCAACATGAAGCAGTAAATATTTCCTGAACAAACAAACGAATAATGGCCATAAATTGAATTTATTAAAAAAAAAAAAAAAAATTTCCATCATTTGAAAAATTCAATTTCTGGACATCCAAAAGGTGAATGAATCTGATTCTTACTATTTTATCTTTCATAAGTTTTATTGGAATTTATAGTTGAAATGGATATTTTGTATGGCCATTTTTTTCGAATATATAAACGGTGATATCAAAATAAAACAAAAAAAAAAAAAAATGATGATGATGATGATGATTATCATTATTATTGTTTTGGCTTATATATTCTTGATCCATGATGATGTTTATGATATTAATGATGATGCTTGATGGTTGCCTTTTAGAATAATAATAATAATAACTGAAAAACTTATTATCGCCGCGTAAATATAAGAAGAAGGATATTTGGTACACTATAGTCTTGTTTTCGATGAAAAAAAATAACATTCAATGTGTATGTATAGTTCCAAAGTTTTCGCGTGAACAGAATATAACGATCATTATCCTAAGGAAATATAAATGCATGTGTATGTGTCTCTGGATTTTTTTTTCTTCTTTTTGCTTTCTTGGTTGTTGCTATGTTTGCTTATTATTAGCATCACAACAACGTTGAGAATAGATTAAACTAAATGGTCCCCAAAGTGAAACACATTGTACATATATGCATGCCTGAATGCCTGATTGGTTGGTTGGCTTGCTGACTGGCTAGACCCCTCAATCTAAAATCTTTTCAATTGCCGAATATATTCAATTCCTTTATTTCTGTCCTTAGACTAACTTTGATATATATAAGTTCGTCAAACATTCATTCACATTGGCATTTTTGTTGTTGTTGTTGTTGCTGTTATTGTTAGTATGAACAAATCAATATTCGTTTCGATTCGTTGTGATTTCATAATGTCATATCAATCTATTTGATATTTTTGGTTTTTTCCCAAATTTGAACTCGATGATGATGATGGTAAAGATCTCTTGACAAAAAAATACAGTTTCAATAATGAAACAGTATTTTTTGTGTCTGTCTGTTATTCTGTGTGTTTTTTGTGTAATATAGATTGGTCAACATATCGAAAGAGAATAGTGAATTTCATTTTCTTCTTTTAGTACTTGAGTTTGAATTTGTTATCATCTGCTTCATCAATGTATTAGTAATTGTCATATGAAAATTTCCCAATATCTTTTTTTTCTTATTCTTAGCTTTCTGTGTGATTACAAATTGTGGCCACTTGGCCCAAAGAATCACACAATTGATACCTTTGGGTAGAATCTTTGAGCTAGAATCTAATGTTGATCAATATAGAGAATTTTTTTTTTGCCTTTTATCATTCGATATTGTTGCTCATGTTATTATTATTATTTAGAAGCGCATCATTAATTCAATTGAATTCAATTTAGTTTCCATTCACTTTTTTTTCGATTTTCAATTCGTATGTGTATAATGGTGTGTTTGTTATTATTAGATTTTCTGATTTTTTTTTCATTCCAGTAGAGAGAAAAAGAAAGAAAAGCTCAAAGAATTTTTTTCTCTCTCTTTCTTTACCTTTTGCATTTACTTTGATTTTGATTTTAACAATTCGTCATTTCGACACACACACACACACACACACTTGCATTCGTAATCAAAGAAAGAGAAAAAGAAGAGGAAGAAGAATAAATTGAAATCTCTACACCATGGTGATGATAATTTTTTTTCTTCTGATCCGATTTTCTCTTTATTCTATGATCATTTTATTCATTTTTTTTCTCTAATACTGGTTGGTCGATCGGTCGGTTGCTAGCGTGTAAGTAATATGTGTTGAGCAAGTGTTTTGCCTCTCTCTCTCTCTCTCTCTCTCATTTCTTTCATTTCCCCATTATTATAAAATGGATCCATTGAAATTGAATTCTGATTTGGATTTTTTATTCTCCTTTTACTTGTTCGTTCATTTTTTTTAGTTCATGATATTCGTCGTCAACGAATAATATATGAAGCGCCGAAGAATGAAATCAATGGATCGAATATCTATGCACAGCCATAATATCCAGTCAAATAAAAGAATTGGAATGAATGTTTTGTTGTTGTTGTTGTTGTTGGTTATAATGAAATTTAAATTTTCAAATGACAACAACCAACATTATGACACAGTATACTAGCTGACAATCTGTATGTTTATATGGAAATGGTTAAAATTACGCGATTAATAAATTGAATTCGCCGTTTCGGATTATTATTATTATTATTCTGTTGAATGTTGATTTGGTAATTTTTTTTCGAGTTCCTCAATTGTACACATGGTTACAGAAAATTTCATTCACCATGGCAGAAAATTGGCTTGGAATTTTTTTTTCTGCATTCAACACACACACATTCTTTCTCTTTTTAATCCTGTTTTCCAAGTATCAACTTTTTTTTCAATCATAATGATGATGATGATGATAATGATGGCCATACTTTAACTTTTAATGTCATTCGATTTATTATCATTTGTGGTCGGTCGGTACTATTATTTATGTTTAAATGTATATATCTCGACGGTTCGTTTTGAAATCACACACACACACACACACACACATGAAGTTTGAATATGAATTTTAGAAAAAAAATGAAATTTGTTTAATATGTAAAGGATTTCCATATTTTCTTCCGCTTTCTAGAATAATGGTCGTTTTGAAAGTGAAACTGATGATGATCATGAATATAGAAAACAGCTATTTATTATCCATTTATAAAAAAAAAATCCAATTCCATTTCGTTCCACTATTTTGTGGTGGTGGTGTTGTTGTTGGTGGGGTTTTGCTTAATTTTTTGCTTTTACTTTTGCTTTGCTCCTTCTGTTTGTTTGAACAGGGCCACTCATTTATTTTGTGCTTCTTTTAGATTAACTAATAAGTAATTCCGATTCCTTAATTTCAAAAAACTGGGCTATGTTTATCTTACTCTCTTTCTTTCTCGTTTCATTTTCATTGCTTTACAAAAATTCAAATTCCGGGAAAAAGCAAGAATTGAAACTAAAATTAAAGTTCATCGAAAATAAAATTTCTGTTTTTCTCTCGTATCCGATGAAATTAAGTATAGATAAGAAAATTTTCTCTGCTATTCATTTGTGATATGATTTTTTATGAAATGAAATGAATGAGTTTTTTTCAAGATTATTGAAGCAAAAAAAAACGAAGAAAAAAGCAAAACTCTACCAACTCCAGTAGTAGAAATAGAATTACTAGAAATATATAAATTCCTAAATCTGGTTTGACTGATATGAATGGAATTTAACACTATCAAGAATATTAGACAACAACGAATAAATCTGCTTTTTGCTTTGCGATGAGGTGAGATTAGACAACAACAACAACAACAAAAAATGTAATGCTACAAAATGTATAGCACCATAGGGTCGTATGATATAAATAATCAAATTATCCTGCCCTTCTTCATCATCATAATCAAGGTTGTCATTTGTCGTCGTTGTAGTTGTCATGACACATCATAAAACATTTGTTTCACGATTTGTTAGCTACAACTCTGGTAGTAGAACTAGAAAATAATTCTAGTCAGAATTTCAACGAAAACATTAGATTGAAAGAAAAAAAGTCCATACATAATTCAATTTAGTCAAATTTTTTTTTGTTTTGTTCATATATCCCATCTTTGGATCCAATGATTTGCCCAAATATCTGATTCAATCGAGCAAAAGAGAAAGATGTTTAGATAAATAATAATAATGATGATGATGATAATGATAATAATGATAAATATTTGAATTTTAAATTATTAATATTTTTTTCTGGAAAAAACATCCACGCCAAATTATGTTGAATTCTGATTTTCATATTATACCTCAACTAAACGAACTAACGTCATCAAATCATACTATACTGTAGATGTGTATTGAATGTGTGTGGATAGAACATTCTGATGAGAAATACATCATTTTTCAATCTCTTTTCATATGGTCCTGAATCGAGCATCCTGTATACTGAAAACAAATTGGAAACAGAAAATAAAAACAACAAATAGACAATATTGTTTGAATTTTCATTTTCTCTCTTAGTAATGTCGCTATCTTTAATTTTGTCAATCAGTTTTGTGAAAACAAACGCAATTGTGTCAAACTATGACCAAAGAAAAAAGATTTCACCGATTCACTTTGATTCCAACTGTGAATGTCCCGTTGAGTATAGTTATATTGTATATGTGTAGGTGTATGGTACTTGGATTTTAAAGTTTTTTCTATATGGTGAAAATGCCAACAATCTTTACCAACGACAAACGCATTTTTTTCATTTTGTTTTCGTTTTTTTTCATTTCTCTTTTCATTACTAGTGTCTATCTATATTATTCTAGAATGAATGTTTATTTACATAACCATCTAAGTGATGGAATCAATGATAGTCATCATCATAGAGCAATGGGACAATGTAGAGATGATGATGTTGATCCGACAAACAAATACACACATTGTTAGAATAGATGCAAAAATAGATGGATATAGAACACAGAGAAAAAAGAGAGAAATTCCAGAGAAAATTTGAACGTAAAGAAATATAAAAAAAAGATGATACCGAAAGAATTCCATAGTAACAAGCAATAATTTTACTAATAGTGATAGAGATAATGTTGACATACAAATAATGATTTTTTTTCTGTTTTTTTTTTTTTGTTTCGTTGAGCTTTATCAATTCTTATACATCCTGTGTGTGTGTGTGTGTGTGTTTGTGTGTATATTCATCATCCATCGATACATTGCTATTCTGTCAAAATATAACATGAATATTTCTTTTCCCCTTGTCTTCATTCTTTTGCTGACATTTTTTTTCTAGCTTTTTCTTACTCTACCAAAACAATAGATAGATACATTTGAATGAATGAATGAATGAAACGAATGAAAAAGGAAAAGTTTCAGATTTGTTGTTTTCATTTTTTTCCTATCGGAAATAATGAACAAGAATGTTGTTGAATGGCGCCAAATAAACAACCACGTCGACGATTATCTCAAAAAAATAACAACAACAACAACAAAATGTTATTCTCACCCAAACATCTATCTATAACATGAAATTATCAACCAACAAACAATGAAGGTTGTGAAACGTTGCGAAAAAAAATACTGACAAGAAAAATGTATCCTGCAAACACACACACACAAAGAATATGAGACTTTAAGCCATTTGATTTAGTTTCAAGTTATTTATTTTTTTTTTTTTTTTGTTAAAATTTGAAATAACCTAACACAAAGAAAAATTCTTAGACACAGAAAATCAGATCGATCATAATCTTTTTTTGGCTGTATTTAGGATATATGGATCATCATCATTATCATAACAATATTTCACATTTCTCTATTTTTATATAAATAAGTGAATGGAAAATTTATTCTGAAAATAATGAAATCTGAATATGTGTATGGGTGAGTGTGTTGTATACCTGGTATTCATAATTTATTCTTACAGACATGAAAAACAGACAGATATTCAATTCTTTTATCTAGAAAGAAACAGCTTTTATGAATTCTTTGTATTCTTCATTCTTCCTAATATTCTCAAATAATCTTCTTCCATTCATCAATTTGTAATATTTGGCTGCAATTTTTATGTCCTGCTGTTTGAATCATCATCATCGAATCGTCGTATTAGAAATAATAATGTTGCAATATCATTTCTTGATCTGAAATTAGGTTTTGGATTGAATACCTATAAAATTTCATCATGGTAACAGATTTGGTCTTGATTTTTTTTCTTTCGTTTTATATCATTACCAATAGAATTATTGACCGACTGTAAAAAAAACACATAACAAAAAAATGTGAAAAAATTTAACGTCTCATTAATCTTTCCATCTGTAAATTTTAGTTAATTCTTTGAAAAAGTGTAAAGAATTTTTCTCGTACAATTTTTTTTTATTATTGTCGTCGCCATTTTTGTTTTCTTTTCTTTTAAAAGTATTTTATGGTCTTTTTTTCTATCACTCGAGAATGAAAATCTTTTTTATTTCTTTCAACAAAAAAAAATTGTGCCATCATCTGGTCCAAACGTTTTTTCTCCTGAGTAAAAAAAAAGTGCGAAAATAAGTTGTGAAAAATGGCTAACAGGAAAAAAACCACAAAATCCAATCCATTGATATCATTAGAATTCCAAAACCAAGAAAGTGAGTCTTAACATTGGCCTTCATCAATCAGCCATTCGAATTTATATATATTTGTTTGTATAAAGAATAGTTCATTCAACAATCGAATCACTATTGTCGTTCGTATGGAATCATAATGATAACGACATTCTATCATAATCAACCAACAACAAACAACTGTACGGCTAAATTGCCAATTGCAAATTCAATTCTTGTTGTTGTTGCCGAATCTTGTATATATGGTGGGCGCCCAATTTGCATAAAATTTTTTCACTGTCCGCTTTTTCTTTCATCAACTTTTTTTTCATTCTTATTGCTTGTGTGATGATGAGAATTATACTAACAAAAAAAAAAAATAAATAAATAAATAAAAGAGTGTGAAGCACGAAAATTTCATTTCGGACATCTGTTAAAGTTTACACATATAGCCAGACAAAAAAAAAGATGTGTCAAAAACAGGACAAACGATTTTTAATTTTTTTTTTAGAACACAGGAAACGGAAATTCCATGCTCTTATTCTATATCGTATGTCCAAATTGTTGTAAATAATAATGAAAATGAGAATTGCAAAAAAATAACACTTGACAATGGAATTCATCATCATGATGATGATGGAAATCCTAGGGATTTTCACATTTCCTTTTTGATTTTTTATTTTGTTTTGTTTTGTTTTATATGCTCCATCATACTACATAAGAGCTACTATGATCATCATCATTCTCTCATTCACAGGATTGTCCAATTCCATTTCATTTTCAAATCGAGCAAATTTGGCATCTCAATTAACTTTTTGTTTGTTTGTTTGTTTGTTTGTATAATGATGATATCCTTTTAATTTTATGTTGTGATATGTTGTCATGAATGAAACCATTCATGTATAATATGGATTTTTCATGGATCTAAACGTATCAAAAAAAAAAAAAAATTTTACTTTAGGTTGTATTTTTTACTGGTCCAATTTATGTATGTATGAATTTGTGGCAATAGAATGAATTTTTTTTTCTCTCTCTCTCTATTCTATGTGCATAGACGATGATGGCATCGTCGACGAAGCTTATTAAACACTAATTTAAACTGTCAACATTTTACTATCATAATAATACTCTAGGCTTTGAAACTGTGGGCGTGTGTTTGTGTGTCTGATTGCTTCATTCTATGCGTTCTACATCATGTGACTTAATGGAATAGTCTATTTACTGTCAAGAATAATTGACTCTTTTCATATATATACGAAAAAGGGTAGTTGTCGTATGTGTTTCGGTGATATATTTCTCAAATCCTCAATATGGATCGCGCCGCATCCAATTTAATGAAAAAGTGAGAAAAAAAAATCTACAAGGACATCTGGCGACATTGTTTGGAACTTTTCAAAATTTTTAATTTTTTTCATCATTTTAAAATTAATCAAAATTTATTATACGAAAATGTATTTTATGATTATTGAAATAAACAATTTTTATGATTATATGGTGAAAATATTTTTTTCTTTTGCTTTATCTAGCAAAGACTTTCATTATAATGCGGACAATAAACAATGGGTGATGAATAACGATTCAACATTTGTTGTGTCATAGCTTCATATTGTTCCATGCTTACATGTATACATGGTGACATACGATTACGCATCTGCATGATTGCATCCTGTACTTCAGTCGATATATCCTCTTTGAATCTTAAACGTTCCTTAATACGATTTCTTAGGCCAATTTTTAATTGAAATATGAATAGATAACCAGCCGAAGTAGCCAACAACAATAAAAGTATTAGTCCAATATTTGAAATGAATGCCAATATACAGAATAATACAAAATTAACAATAGTAACAAATATGAGTAATGTTAGATTTTTTCTTATTACACCAATCAATCCTAGTACTTGATTCAATACTGTCACAAACAATAATGTCAATGCAATCACTTCAATGATTAACATACGATTTTCATTTCCGGTTCTCTGATGATTAAGATTATTGAAACGTTTATCGACGGATATTGTCGCCAATCGTTGTCGACTTGCTTGTAATGATTCTTCATCATTCGATCTACTACTACTACTGTAGAATATATCATCTTCTTCATTCAGATCTTGACGATCTTTTGTTCGTGCATAATTATCGAAATTAGCAAATATTTTCGGATAGGATTTTGTATCATCATCACCATCAAGCTGATTTCTTCCATCAAGATTCATTCTATCCGATGAATCATATGTTGGTGGCTGTGGTTTAGGTACCGGATATTGATGATAAAATTCATCAAGTAATGAAAGAAATGAACTACGATCACAATGATATATTTGTTCATTGCTACCGAGATGCTTCGATAATGGTCGATGATTGATCGTGCCATAAGGACCACCATGTTGAACTATATTTCGATCACGGCCAATATTAAATGTGGATGCTGATAGATAATTGTTCGGTGCATAATTATTGTTATCAAGTGAATAATATTGTCCATTTATAAGTTCTTGTCGATGATGTACATCTAAAAACATTGAACCAATTGACATATTTGATCCATAAAATATGAAATGTATAAAAGTATTGATGATCAATGTTATCAATACTAATATATAAACCATAAATAGATAATATCTTGCACAAGCATAATAACTTGTCAGAACGGACAATTCTTCATTCTGTATTTGTTGTTGTCGTTGTAGATTTGTATTTATGATGACGTTAGATGGCTGTAATGATGCATTATTATTATTAATCTCTGTTGTTGCCATATTTGCAGTCGATCCAGTTCGGCCAATATTTGATTTATTATTATTGTTGCTGTTGTTGTTTGAAACATTGTTGGTCATAATATTAGGTGTTGATGATGATGTCGATGACATCATCATTCTGACATTACTACTACTGATATTATTATTCTGTCGTGCTTTTGGCAATGGTGGTGGTTCTTGATGTATCAATGTTGAAATATTCGCATCACCATCCTTATAATCACGACTAATTATGATTGGATCAATTGTTGATTGATTCGAAGCTTTTAACATTGAAACATCTGCATGTAGTAAATTGTTAAAAAATGGTTAGAATAAACAATAACTTAAACATTACCAAACTTGAATTTATTGTTTTGATTTGTTCAACTTGGCGATGTCCTTAAAAGAATATCACATTATGATTAAGATGACGATGTCGTTTTTTTTCTCGATTCACGCATCTCTATTTTCTCTCTCTCTCTCTCTCTTTCTCTTGTTGTTTGTTGTTGATGATGATGATGATGAATATTTAACCAAAGTAAGATTTGTGCATACAACAACAACAAAAACTGTTGCTTGGTAATTCGTCGTCTTTGGGATATTTTGTCATGCATAATGACAACAACAACAACAACATCAGCATCGGTGGAATTCATGCCTCAATATAATGGCCACATCTATGTTGTTCCAATCCCTCTCCCGCTAAAACCTTACTCTCAATAGCATAACATCTAAAAATAGTACCCTTCTTACTTTTTCTTATTCTTAGATTATTACTCAAATACAAATCAATATTTGGGACTCCGGATTTTTTCTTTTGAATAATTGTTCTTCACGATCATCATCGATTTCCGATATTCAATTTATTTATCATTAAAAAATTCATTCATCTATTAGTCAAACATGTGTGTTATGGTACATTCTTTAAACAATTCGTTTAGTCTGGAATTCATTTTTAACTGTTGAATACAGGAAGTAAATTTTATTTCTTGCTGTAATGATGATGTCGTTTTTTTATGAATGAAGATTATGATTACTTTGTGTTCATTCTGTGAATCATAAATATAAAAGTTATATTTAGATTTAAATGTTTTTCTAGTTTATTTTTCATTATTTACATTGCATTCATATGCACACAGACGCTAGCAGTAAACGATGATGTTGTCTATCCATAATTACCATTCAGAATTACATTGCCTTCTATCATTTATTCTCTTCATTCAATGAATTTTTCGTTTTCCATACGATTCTTTACAATTTCACCATTTGTTCGAAATAGAGGGAAAATGTTTTTATGTAATTCTCAAAGCAATTGAATCTTTTGCTTTTCAGCATTCATCAGCAAAAACTTAAATTCTTTGTTCGTGCCAATTTCATGCGTCTTCCATTTCATGTGTTTGCAATGTTGATTGAGAAATTTTAATAGCATAAACACATGCGGACATCATTCACTATTATCATCACAAACATACAGGCATCAAATTGGTATTAAAGCCCTGTTAAAGTTATATCTATCCATTTGATTTGATTCATTAATTCCAATCAATCCAATCGATAAATGAATGATCGATCTGCACATTTGTCTCAGCTAATTTATTGATTGATTGGTTCAAATGATTGATGAAAAGTATGATGAGAACCAATCAACAAACCAGTGATTATGCATTGTCATATTGTCGGGATGGTATTGGATCGACATCAGCAGCATCAGCTATTGGTGCTGAATATTCTAGACATCAACAACGGAATCTTTTCCAATTAATTAGCCGTAATTCTATGCCATTTCAAATTGTCAAATATGTATTGCTCATCCTTAACATAATGATAGTTGCAACCACAGCCATAGTCACCATAATCGTATGTCTATTGCCAACAATAATCTATGAGAAGAAATTAGCTTTGGATAATGCAAGTGCATTTCTCAAAACTGGAAATCTACAACAGCAACAGCAATTGAATTATGATCGGCGATCATTGGATGAACATGAATTGATCCAATTATCAGCACAAGAAATCGATACGATCCGTTTGGTTCGATATTTCATCTTAGCATTATCATCATTAATCATACTGAATCAAACATTGGCTGTATATGGCTTGTTTAAAGAACGATCATTTAACATATTGATTAGTACCGTAGTCATTGGATTGATTGGCCAATTAAGCTTATTTGTATTACCGGCAAGCATATTCATATTGATAACCATTTATTTAATTTTCAGCATTAGCTATGTTATTATACTAAATCATTTGAATTTGATGGTACGTGAACCTCAAATACGTCAACAGGTGACATCAAGAGCACCATCGATAGAACCATCACAACGAACTTGTTGCTGTCGATGTAAATCTTGCCAATGTATGAATGTAATGACAAATCAATCCGTTGGATCTGCGATCATTGACAATGTACTTGTAAATCGAAAAGCATCGATTCATACAAATCACTTACCACAGCCGTCTTCTTCGTCATATCCAAATAATCAAGTTCCATATTACTATGGATCATTAGGCCGTGGTAAATCTCGTAATGCAGAATTAAGACCCGGTTCGATTAATCAATCAACATCTGTGGCCAACAGTGAAAATATCTACGCACAGCGACCACCAATTCATCATCATTCGCATTCACGAAGTCCAGGACTACGTCCGACCAATAAATGTTCTAATATGAATCTAGTCGACACCATTTCAGGTGGTTTCCAATCACGAAAAGAAATGACACCCACGCCAACAACAACAAATTATTTTGCCTTTGAAATGTCCAAAGATACTGATATTATATGACAAATTTGATCGACAATCTGATTTTAATCTGGGTCCAAAATAAAATCTTTTAAATTCATTCGAATATTGTCGAATAATTCCTGTATCAATTAATAACGGTTCATACTTTTGATTTATACAAAAGTGTGACTTGTCGCATATGAAATTGTTCATTTTCAAAAACACACCATATTCTTCACTCATATTTATCATCTGTAAATATATTTTGTGGTGACGTAGTTATTTATCATTTGGTGGATTATTTTTTTGTGATTAGATATTTCAAATTTGCTTGCATTCAAGGTACCTGTATATTATAAATCAACAGTCCGAAAAATAACCGTTTTTTCTGATTAGAGCTTAGACAGTTGAAATTGCACTTGAACATCCATGAAAGAGTCGAGTCTTCTAATTTTGATATCACAATAAACAATACCGATTAAATTGCATTTTTTTTAGTGAAGTTTATATTTTCGTTCACTCATTTTATTTATTTACATTTTGTTTAGATTTTGTTTCATTTATATAAATTAATATTGTTAAAACATGTTCTATCGTCTAATCATTCGTAAACATCTTTTCGTTCCAGTTTTATCGGCTGTTCATCATATCCCAGGAAACCATTTTTCTTCTATTCGTTATTATTATTCACCAAGCAGATTACTGTCAAGCAATACGACAAAAATGGCTTCATTGAACAAAGAAGAAACTGCTCGATACAGTCGTCAAATGTTATGTCCAGAAATTGGAAAAAAGGGTCAACTTCGTTTGAAGTCTAGCTCCGTTCTTGTTGTTGGTGCCGGTGGTCTTGGTTGTCCATCATCGTTATATTTGACTGCAGCTGGTATAGGCCGATTAGGATTAATCGACAGCGATGTTGTTGATACTAGTAATTTACATCGACAAACATTACATTCGGAAGCTACAATTGGACAACCTAAAACAGATTCAGCTGTGGATCGTCTTCGACAATTGAATTCAAATGTCGAATTTGAAAAACATCAAGTTCGATTATCGGCCGAAAATGCAATGAACATTATCAAAAATTATGATATTGTCATTGACGGTACTGATAATCCAATGGCTCGCTATCTTTTGAGTGATGTCTGCGTTCTTCTCAAAAAACCAATGGTCAGCGGTTCGGCTTTACAATGGGAAGGTCAATTAACTGTCTACAATTACGATGAAGACACTCCTTGTTACAGATGCCTTTTTCCTAAACCACCAGCACCAGGAACTGTGACCAATTGTGCTGATGGCGGCGTCATTGGTGTCGTACCTGGAATTATTGGTAATATTCAAGCATTGGAAGCTATCAAAATAGCTGCGGGATTGAAACCTTCATATGCTGGAACATTGTTGCTTTTCGATGGTCTTACCGGTCAATTTCGTAAAGTCGAACTTCGAAAACGAAAAGATGATTGCGTAAGCTGCGGAAATAATCCGACTATCACTAAAGAACTGATCGATTATGATGCATTTTGTGGAATCAAATGCGATTCAGCTCAACAATTGAAAATTCTTGAACCAGAAGAACGAGTGACGGTTGAAGAATATAAACAGGTTCTTGACTCAAACGAACCACATTTATTGATTGATGTTCGTCCTCAATTGCAGCAAGATATAGTTAAATTGGACAACGCAATTTCTATTCCGCTTGGCCAGATAGTTAAAGGGGACGGAATCGATAAAATCACTACATTGATTGGCGAAAAATTGGATCAAACTTCAGATGTAAAAAAGAAAATCTTTTTTATGTGTCGACGAGGCAATGCATCTCAAAAGGCTGTCCGTGAATTGAAAAATCGGCTTGGCACCAAAATTGAAGATGATAATCTTGAAATCAAAGATGTCATCGGAGGTATTAGCAAATGGGGTGAAAAGATTGATCCAGAAATGCCAATGTATTAATGGATTTATTCAATCGACCAAAACAAATTCCGTCCAAAAAAATCTTTCTCTCCAGAAAATTATTAATTATCCAAAAGATGGCATCACATTCTGCTGCTACCGAAAAAGTTCATATGATTTCGTTTTTTTTTTTTTTATTAGTATTTGCACTGTAATACTCTTATTATTAACATTGTGAGTGCGTTTTATGATTATGATGAAACATGCACCCTAATGATGACGGTTTCACATTTGTCACAAGTTTATTTTTATTCTTTTGTTGTTAAATCAATAATGATGATTAAATTACCCTCAACGATTTTCCTTCACAATATAGTGAAATTTTTAACAAGAAATAACAATCATGTTTGAAAACTTGACCATTGATTGAGCTATACTCATCATCATCATTTATCTTTATATTTATATATATAATATAAAATAGAATCGTGTTCACATTTCAAGGTTCATCGATTCGATTGTTTAGTCATTCATCTCGTATTGCTGTTTTTATTTATTTTCATCTGTATATGTTGAAGATATCACGGACATTGGACAATTAGAATATATCCAATGATTTCAAATTGTTTAATGATTTTATTAATCGGAATCCTTGTCATCTTGCTTTCGTTAGCCGTATTATTTATGTTAATTTCGCCATCTCGTTATAACATTATTCCAGATAATAGGATATCGAAATTTTTTTATCATTTAAGTTTGTTGGATAATTTTCATCTTAATTCTAGGCAAAAAATGTTGACCAAATTTACGTTGATATTTTTGCTTGCATTTATTCTGGTTGCAATATTCGTTTCAAGTTTTCTACATTTAATCAATACTGAAGATGATTACAATAATCATTTTCAAATAAATCAAACACAAATCCTTAATGACCATGTACAAATTGATGATAAATATGAAAATCTCTTCTGGTTCATCCATATTTCCGATACTCATCTAAGTTATTTTCGTGATCATGACCGTAAGACTGGCATGATTGAATTCTGTCGTTCAGTGATACCGATAATTCAACCTAGTGTCCTTGTATTGACCGGTGATATTACCGATGCTCGAACCAAGTTTCCGCTCGGATCCGAACAGTATCGTGAGGAATGGATCATGTATAAGGATGTCCGTGAACAATGTTTGAAAGCAAATCCTAATCTAAAATGGCTTGATATCAAAGGAAATCATGGTATGTTATCAAAATTGAGTTTTATGCCATAAAATTAATCTATAATAATATTGTCTTCTATGCAGATACTTTCAATAGTTATAAGAATCACAACGATTTTAATAATTTTACTGTTCAATCAAATATGTCTGCGGATGGTCGATCTTATCGTTATGAATACAAAGCAAGCGATGGAAATTTTTATTCATTCATTGGCGCTGATGCATGCCTTAAGCCTGGTGTTCGTAGACCATTCAATTTCGTGGGTCAATTTGAAGAGAGTGAATTAAATAAATTGAGTAAATTCAAAGAAGATAGCCGTGAATCTACCTACACCATTTGGTATGGCCACTATCCAACTGCTTCCATCTACAATCGAGAAAGTTTTCGCAAAATTATTAATGGCCCTTATTTGTGTGGCCATTATCATACCATTCATGGATTGGTACCGAATATGATCACCACCCAACAGCAAGGATATCTTGAAGCCGAAACTGGTGATTGGAAAGATTATAGAATTTTTCGAATCGTTGCCATTGATCATGGATTATTCACATTCTCAAATTACTATTACCGACCTCATCACCAACAGCCATTGATTGTAATCACTAATCCTCGTTCCATTCTACATCAAATGGAACATTTGGAACCATTCTGGCGAACAGCCAATTCAACCCATATTCGAGCGCTAATTTTTTCACATAGACAAATCATCGATGCCAAAGCTTATATAACAAAACAGCAAAAATTTAACCGTGATGAAGTTCTTGAAACATTCGAACTGAAACAGATACGTGATTCTCTATGGGTTAGCCCTTGGTCACCGAATAAATACTCTAAGGGATTGTATTTTATAACTGTGATAACTTCGGTATGTGTGTGACATTTTTTATTGAATATCATATATTATTTACTTCTAATCCAAAACCATTCATTGAAAAGGATGATCATTATTCCAATCAATTGACTGTACCGTTCTCGTTGGATCGCTCAAAGTCGGAATTTTCATTTTTAGCTCGATTGATTTTACGATTTGATTTTCGAACGATTGTAAGTGATATGAAATTATCATTGTTAAAATTATCAAATTTTTTTTATATAAAAAAACAGACCATGTTTTTATATTCCTGGGGATTCTTTATGGCTACTCTTCCATTAATATTTCTACGAATTTTCACATCAAATGATGATAATTATATCAAATATATGTGCAATCTTTCTCGACGTCGCTACATTCGCAAAGTGATTTTCAAATTATTTTTGCTATCACATCAAGATAAATTATTCTATCCAATCATAATCTTGCCTTTCTATTCATTGGTTGGTCCTTGGTTTCTGGCATTTTTGGTTTCTGATTATGTTGGAATTGTGTTTGCCTGGGGTCAGTTTATTGATGGAACTTTTCTTCCAGTCGGTTTTACATTTGTTTTTGCCGCAATTTTCGTAAGTTATTAACTCTATTTTTTATCTAATGGATATATAGAAGATTTATCTTTTTTTACAGATATTGATCTTCCATTTACCATTCATGGTTGGTCTGTCAATTGTCGTTTATCTTCGCTATGTTGAAATTGAAAAGAATGATCAAAATGGTAATGAACATTCCGATGACAGCCCAAGAACGATGAGAATAAGCTCAAACCGAATCTTTAAAAAGATGTATTTCTACGCTTTTATCTGTGTCATTTTAACTGCTTTTCAGGTAATTGCTTCATCCATTCTGCTCAAGTTTTAATTCATGTTTTTTTTTATCATCAGTTTTTTACTGCTCTCATCTTCTACACGTCTTATGGTTTCTTGGCATTTATCACTAATTTTTATGTATGGTCTTGTCTAGTTTATTTGATGTTGGTCAAATTTGCATTAAATCTGGATGGCCATAATTTTAAACTGATGGCCAAAAAAATGACATATCAACCATGTAGTCAAACTCGAAATAATATAAATGATGATGAACAAAATTGAAAATTATCCTATTCACCCTTATGCCGATATTATATTATTTTGTATTATATATTTTTTTCAAAAATAACTAATTTCCCTAACAAATTTCAAGGTTTTATCATCTGTTATAGCCAGACTAATACTAATTAATTATTTCGAATTTTAACATAAAAGGTCTTGATGACCAAAATAATTTTTTTTATGATAAGACACTTGGATTCTATCCATGCAATCATTCATCATGAATAATAATGATTGATAACAAGGATACATATTGATAAAAGTGATAACTGTGATCACTTGTCTCCAAGCCGTAATAATCATCTGTCAATTAAGTCATGATTATTTTATTTGTCCTCCAAAATTTAAATTATTATTATTATATTTAAAAAACATGAAATTAGCCCAAAAAGAATAAATCTGATATTTTAGAATTCAATCATGATAGGTTAGAATCCAGGTGTCCAATAATCATTATTTATCAAAATTAAATCAATATATCATATTTAGCTGTCATTCATCATTGGCATCAAGGATTTCATTAATGACCATGTTACAAATTTAACACATGTGCCCTTCAATCTCAAATACAAATAATTCAATAACAATATTGTAGAGAATATGACAACAAAATGATGCGTTCATTAATCATATAGGATTCATTTCCGTACTAAAATCATTTGGTAACAGGTAGGGTGTTATAAATAAATAAATATAAAAAAATTTAAACATCAATTTTTTGCCATTATTAAACAGATTATTAAATATGAATTCATTAGCCATCATCATCTGTATACTATGTTGCTCATTGATTTTCATTGCCAAAGCAATAATACCCGGTGGTCTTAGCCGAATACCAACGAACGATATCAACATGCTTTTGGCATTAATACCACTGGAACGTGAAATGGATCATCGATGGAATTCGCCTAAAATTCATCGTATCGTACGAATACGAAGAGCTTATTCACAAATAGTATCCGGTGTTAAATACTATGTGGTTTTCGATTTTCATGAAACCGAATGTTATAAGACTGAAGAATGGAAGTTATCATCATGTAGAATTATTGGCAATAATCATGTTTGTCATGCACATATATGGGTTCAAGCTTGGAAGGGCAAAAATAAATTGGTATATTTTTCTTGCTTTAATTAAAAAAAATAAAAATGATTACAATAATGATTAATCTCCAATCCAAATGATTGCTATGTGATTCATGAAAAAAATTAATTTCGCCTGCAGTTAAGATTCCATAATAAGATTAGAGCATGTTTGAATGAATCACATAAATAATAAAGACAAAATTTCAATACATTTTTGAAACATAACGTTTGTGTGTAATATTTGAAAAAAAACAATTTTACCATACCGATTTAACGACTAACATATGGCAATGAGAATATTATCGATCATTTTTCTGATGAATCAATAATGATAACAGAACCTGTATATAAGTGGTCTTCAACTTATTTTTGGCTCACAAGCGGTTTCATGTTTTGTTTCTGGTCAATTTATCATTGGAAATAAAAGTATGTAGCAAATGTCATTACAATTAATTGAAAAAGTAGATGACTTAACCGTTGCTTAAGTGTAAAAACTAACTCAAATAGGGCGGATTGATTTTGGTTATGACTGATCAACTTATTTGTCTGAGACAATTTAAAATTCTTTGTGGATCCGTGTTTGGAAATCACTGTTGTTAAATACACAAGCTGGCTTTTGGATACTGATTTACTTATTGCTGTATTTTGTTTTTGTTGTCGTTGTTGTGATCGGTTAGCGTTATATGATCATTATCTCGTAGTGTATATTGATGCAACATTGATTTTAATCGATGTACGTTGTTTATGTTTTAATAACTTGTCGTCCGAGCCAATTGTAAATGGTATAGATATATAAATATCACGAACGCCCTTGTAATTTAATTTTTCATCGAGTGAAAAAGTCTTTTAAAAATTCTGTTTACGTGTTTGCTTTAACAAATCAACCAAATAAATTGGAACAAAATGAAATCGATATTCTTTTGCTTTGCCATCTTTACATCATGTGCCCAAGTTTATGTTTTTGGTGCTCAAAATAAACAATCAGTGCCAATCGCTGGAGGCATTAGTGCCACTTCACCGGATCGCTTTCATATAGTCGTACCAACATTGATCGCTTTGGAACGTGAAATGGACGGGAAAATGGATTCACCATACATTCATCGTGTAAACAAAATTAAAGATCTTAAAACACAGGTGGTTGCTGGAATTCGATATTATGTCAAGTTTGATTTTGGACAAACTAGTTGCTTGAAGAATGCGACCACTGTTGATGGTATCGGTCAATGTAATGATGTTACTAAAACGCATAAATGTGAAGCCGATATCTGGGAACAGGCATGGCTTGACCAACGTGATCTTCTTAATTTTAAATGTGTTTAATTAACTCTCACAAGCTCTTGTAATGATTCTGTAAATGGATTCTATCTTTAATAAGCTTTCGAACTTGTTATTACTATTATTTCTTATGTTTCTGTGGATTTAAAAAAATGTTGGCTACACGAAATACAATAAAAAATACAATAAAAATAGCAAAAAGTAAATCTTTATTGATGAAATATAAGAGCGAGGATCTTTGTGGATCAAATCATTTCTTTTCAATTTGTTCCAAAAAATGGTTCAATTTCTTTTTGATCATTTTTTGATCTTCCAACGAACAATCGATGACAATTTTTTGAAAACGTTCATCAATAGGAACGAGTAGTTCATGATTTTTATCCAGTGAATCATCTGATGTACAAGAACTGACATATGTTAAGCATTTTTTCTTGGCAATAATTTTGCCCTCCTGTACCAGAATCACTTTCAATGCATCAATATATTTGTTAGCTTTTTCGAATGCTTCAATCTGGCTGGATGAACGCATCGGTTTAATGATGATGTTGACACTTTCTAATCGATGTAATAAATCTTCCGTAGTTGCATGAATGTCTTGAAGATCGACTATTGAATCATCGTCATAGAAATAGGATATAAATAATTATAATTCTAAAATAAAAATTCAAATTTTACTAACCTTCGGTGAATGATGAAAAACTTGATGCTGGTGATTTCGATTCAATCTTATTCAATGCATCGAATAATTTGTTTTTCTCTTCTAATAATTCGAATGCAATTTCTCGTAAGAAAACTATACGCTTCTCAACTTGGTCTAATGTTTTTAGCACATCATCTTTCATTATTGGAACATTTGGGTCGTTAAGCGAAAATCGTTGCATTTGTTTGGTCGTCATTGTTGGTGCATTCGTTTGCATTTTTATTTTATGTTTATTGTCTGAGGATGATGTTGATGTTTCGCCATAAAAATCATTTGTTTGTAGCTGAGATGATTTTCCTGAATACAAGCGATTTGCACTTGATGATCGACGAATATCTCGAAGTCGTGTTTCAGGAGTATGATTATAATGGTGATTAGGATTTGTGCTAGCTGTGGATGAATAAGATGATTCATAACCAGATGATATTGGGGAATGACATCGTTCATTACTGGATTGGCTAAGACTGTTCATTCGTGACAACATTCTTGACAATGTTGGATCTGGTGATGATATTCGAAGATTGATTCGAGGATTAAATGATGATTGATAGTTGAAATGTTGTTTTATATTAGATGGTGATCGGCTAGTTTTTGGAACGGTAGATTCATTTTCACCACTATGAGAAATTGAACGAAATATTGGTATAATACGAGTTCGTTCATTATTCATGGTACAAGGATTTTTATCTATATGTTCAGATGATATCTATAGGGATTCGCATAATTAACGAATGGTTATGAAGAGAATGATAATTTTCAATAAAACAACTAACCTTGATAATTGATTTTCGCAACGCAGAATTATTTGATGGCAATGTCGGGGGTAATCTGGAAGGAGTGGACGATATAGGTGTCCCACTCCTATCATTTCGTAATATTTCCATTTTATTATTTGCCCTTCAAATAATTAATTTGAAATATTAATCAACAAAAACACAAATCTTGAAAAGAATTCAACAAAATTCAGGCCAAAATTCTCCGATATATCGACAACTGTAAATCGAAATGAATTTGATGATCTTACATGTTAGATAGGACAGAATAAATAGGGATGAAAAAATAGAATTCAGATTTTTTTCTTGCCTGCCTGTTAAAAAAACGAACAGAATTTGTATATGTGTCTGCAAAAGTGTTCTCCACTTGTCAATGATTATATGTCATCTGTTCGGAATTTTACTCGATGGCTGACGGAATAGTTTTATTGGGCAACGAGAATTCCACCCAACAACAAAAACAACAACAATAATGATGATAATAATAATAAAATAAAACAAGAAGATAACAGCCATGACTGTGAAAAAAATGATGGCCGTTTGCCGAATTATTTCGTTGATGTTGGCTGTTTTGTTGTTGTTGTTGTTGTTGTTGTTTTTTGCTTGTTCTTTTTGGAATACCACCATATTTATGTTGAATTTCATTGCCAAGCGAATAGAATCTCGGTCGTGGTGAATGGTGGTGATGGTAGCTAAAAATAACTCAAAAAAGGCGACAGAAATGAGACGCAGAGAGAATTCATTTCTATAATTCGTTAATGCGAATGAATTAGAAGCAAAAACAGTGAACAGTCTATTTGTGAATTGTGGTAGAAAAATGGATAGCCTGGAATTCTCTTATTATCAACAACATTGTTGAATAAAAAAATTAATATGGCGATTCGTTGCTAATTATTCAACTTTTTACCAATCATTGCCTAGCATCAGCAAAATCTAACAAGATTTTTCTTTAAAAAAAAAACGGTAATAAAAAAGTGACTACCGGATGTAGAATTTTACATTAGGCACTGACAAATGTACGAATTCCACATGACCAAAGAATTGCTGGATTTGTATCGATTATCGTTAACCGAGGTATCACCGTATTGAAGTTGTTTTTATAACAATCATCAAATCATTCAATAATCGCTATCCGGTTAATGTGATTTAATTGCGTATCATTATAAATAATGACGGATTATGCATTTAGCGACGTATTGGATTTGTATAACGTTTCATTGCCAAATAATTTTGTTTATATATCACAGATGTTTATAACCGAACAACAATGATCTGAATTCATGTGGCGATCTGTTGAGAATTACCTAACCATCATTATTCCAAACATTGAAAGCAGGTGATAATTGCGCATGTGATACAAATTTAGTTTATGGCGCTTATGCGTTATTATAATCGAAATAATTTTCAACAAACGTTTTTCGTCGATCAAAATTACTTTATTCATTATTCTTTCATTTCATTCCAATCATCGACTCCAAGTGAGCAAACAACTTTATGCAACAGTTTGAGCCATCAAATTCAATCAAAAGACGGATCGATCAACATCAGAAAGCGGAAATGTCTTCGGCAACAAAAATCGCTAATGGAATGTCAGTGAATGGTCGATTGAAAAAACAGGATACATTTCAATCGAATAGCTCGACAACGATCAATTTGACAAAATTTGATTCAAATTATCATTCATCGTTTCAATGCCGAATGTATAATAAATCAAATGTTCGAACATCAAAATTGTTTAGAATATTAACGGTAGTGGCTTATATTATTGCCGTTAGTATGGCTGCCATTCTTTTGTCCATTTATTATACATTCATCTGGAATCCACATCATCATCGGGACGATAATAGTAAAGCGGTGGTGACTCTCATCAATCAACAACAAAAACAACAACAACAACAACAACAACAACAATCATATTCAACTACAATGAATAGTATCTTTGTCAATGAACCATTAACATCCAGGTCATCACAATCATTCATACATGAACAAAAAAACAAAAATTCTTTGGAAATTAATTCCTTAAAATCAAGACCAATTACTAATCAAACCACTAATGTTAGACAGTAATTGAAATGAAAAATTATTTTTATTCAATTTTTATTCATTATTTATTACAAATTGATATAATAAAATTTACGATGATCATAATGAAATTTAGGCTGATTTAATGAATAAATGAGATTGAGTCAGTTGAAAATTGAAAACTTTGATTCTGCTTTTTATTGGCTGTTTACTCATAACAGTTTCCACTCACTTTATCATTATTAGATTTGAAATTCCAAATTAAATTTAAGAAATGAAATTATGAGCATGACGTCATGTTAAGAAATGATAATCAATTATTGGCGATAATTCAATTATTAGTACTTGATTCTATAGAATCATTTCATATGCGGCACGTAGGAAATAGGCAGCTTTTTGATTTTCTTTAACCAACGAAAAGTTTTCAGCCAATGCTTCAATATCGGGTAATTTTTTTGATTCGTCTCCTATATGAATTTATATTCATTATATTATATGAAAATAAATTTAGAAAGAATGATCAGATATTCTCTTACCATAATAAGTGATGGCCAATTGATAGAAAAACGATTTTTTAATGAACAATTCCAAATTATCAGTGCAATATTTGCTCCATCTGTAATTTTAAAAATTTTAAAATTGAGCGAGAACCGTATCAAAAAAAAACAGCCAAAATTACTTACTCATCTTTTTCGAATGCTTTTTGCCAGATTTTAAACAAGATCTGACGATGAAGATCAATCGAATATCGTCGTTCAACGATTTCAGCAATTTCAAGGGCCTTTTGAAAATTTTTCAATTCTTCATTTGGACCTTCGACACCTGAAATCAAAATATCGACCAATTGTTTGGGTGGAAAAACAGACATTGTTTTACGATCAAGACCATTTTTTTGTAACAAAGAATCAGAAAGATCGGATTGATATTGAAGAAAACAAAGTTGATCATCAAAATCTGAATAATTCGTATCACCACTTGCAATCAATGCCAATTTACCAATGCTAAGCATTGTTTTTCTACGTGCAACACAATTCTCTTCAAATAGGCCAAGTTTTTTCAATGTTGAACTTGCTTCTTTGTATCGATGTGAATGCAATTGATGTAACCATTTCAATGAATCATGATTGGATAAAAATGCATCCAATTTTTGATTATTAGCTGTTGTCGATGATGATAACATTTTACCTTGCTTTCCTTCTTTCAAATACCATTCGAATAGATATTCGGCAAATCCCTTTTCGGCAAAACGTTGTGAATAATGTTTGAGCTGTTCTTGATTGTCCAATGCTTCACATATTTTGATGAGTATATCAAAATCTTCGTATTTTTCGGCTAATTCAGCAGCACGATCATATTGTTTTATTCGAAGCAATGGTTCAAGACATTTATATCGGATCATTTCAAAAGCTCGCCGTAGTGTTGCAAATTTTTCATTCGTTGGATTAAGATAACCGAGTTGACATACAAAACTATCAAGTATAATGTCGGCTAAATCAGCAAGTTTTTGTCCAACAAAAATCCATCGTTCTTCATCACCAATCATATGACATTGCGCATCGACTCGGAAGCATCGAATGAGTAAATCAAATTGTTTGATCCAAACATCTCGAACACCGCTTATCCGTTGTTCGGATGACCATGGTACATAATCACAATCGGCAACCACTGCTGATTGATAAATAACACCATTAATTTGTCGATATCGACATACTTCAGCAAACACTGAGGTCATTATATCCGTTATCGAAATGATCAATTGTTCGTCATATGTATGACCTGTTTGGAATTGTGTTTCTTCTATCTCGACTAGCTGCCAGAATAATTCATCCACTTTGGTCACTTCACGATAGAATAAATCTTGATTAGTTAGATGACTATGTGAATCGAATCCTTTTAACACTCCGGTGCCTTTTCGTTTATCCAAAACCTTTTTAATTGCATTTACAAGAATGGTACCGTAATGTGGATGCAATTTCCAAAGTGCCATACAAACTAGTAGCTTTTCCGAATGTTCACAAAGAATCAATTTGGTCGGCAAAATGGATTTGAAAGTTGTCAGCGATGTTAGTGAATCCCATATACCTGTTCTTTTTTGCAATTCGATGAATGAATTGTGTGTCAAAATTTTCTCCTCTAATTGTGTCCCAATGATAACAGAACCAGGAGGCTCTTGTTGTTTCTGATTCGGCTGCTGTAGATCAAAACAATTTTCATTATCAATAAAAGTTGACCATCGTGGATCAGCATGCGGTATCTGGTCACAGATATTCGTGCTGAGTGCACAGACAGTCGCATCCAATTCTGTTGTATTTATAGGTTGTTTAATTTCAGCCGCTGGTTCTGTTCGGATGAACGGAAACGTCTCGTGTACAAGTAATTCAGCACGGGTTTTATCATCCTTCATAAAAAATTGTAACGCTCGTTTTAGCAAGGATAATTTATCAGTTTGATTAGAATGTATGAATTCTCGATCCGATGCAGATAATTGTTTTGAAGAGACCGAATCTGCCGTTTGACATTCAACAGATAGGAATCCATTCTTAAAGGTTAATAATAGAAGATTTTGATCAATTCGATTGACGCCGAACAAAAAGTCATTCATGGATTCTAAATCGATTTCTTCAATAGAATCTTGATTGTTAAGATTAACCTTATAAATACGAGTTGAATTGAAAATATAGCAAATTTGTGAATCCATCATTGAGATAAGATTGAATTGACGATTTTGAGACAAAGACGGTGCTGATGGTGAACGTGATTGTAAAAGAAGTTCATTAAATGATAAACGAATGTCGGTTAAATATCGAGCTGATTTTATAGGCGAACTGGAATATTGTGACTCAAGGGGTGATCCATCTAATGGATATAAATCGGGCATTAATGAAAACAAAGCAAAATGATTATCATTTGGCACATCAGAATTGTTACACATGACCAACAGCATTATCTCATTGAATCGATTCAATGCAATATCCATGATCCAAATGGAAATCTGATTATGATGCGTTGTTGTACGGTCCCAAAATTTGTTGATGAAAGCTTCTTTTAAATGTTTTTCTAAATCGATTCGACCACAAAAATTTTCACCATCATAATCTTCAATAATCCATTTTTGAATGGAACAATTGTGTAAAGCTAGAATAAAGACCGGTAAAACATCATCATTATCATCTAATGGCTCGTTACGAATAATGCGTAAAATTTGTCTGGATTCGGCCGAATAATTTGCAGTTGGTAATGATCCATATATGAATGAACTAAATTTTCGGCCAATACCAGAGAATAAACTCTGCGGAATCTTCAACGTATGGCATATGATCGGTGATTGATTTGGTTCTTGGCGCGATCGATAATCAACATAAATGTGAGCTAACGAATTGGTGGTAGTGCCTAGTATACATCCTAACGGACGAATATCTATTAAAATTTGACATTCTTGGCCGTTCAGATCGGCACCGACGATCGCGTCATAAACATCATTCTCCTGAAATATACTTGGCCAATATCGGATCGAACCTTCAGGGCTTACAGCGATGGCACTAGGAAATCGGCTCTGTTGTTGCTGTTGATAATGGGTCATCGAATTCGATACACAAACTAGTTCAGCTTTGTGTGCAATATCACTAGCCGGCAATAGTAATTCATAACATTTGGTAGTCTTTGGTTTATTGCTAATCGTATCATCCAGATATCGCCAAATGAATAATTTACGTCCAACAACGAACCAAGCCCAGCCATCACGAGATATTCGTGCTGTCAAATTTTTCGATGCTAAATCTATCACAAATTAACCATTTTCAATTATCAATTTTTTTCACAAGTTTTTCTCGACTTACTTGGTGTAGAAAGAGCTTCAATAATACGATAAGGAAGTTTTGATGGAAAATCTTTTACTACCAATGATGACGATGAATTGCCATGAAAGTTATTCGAAGATATGTTCAGTTTTGATTTTGCTGACATATTTATGAAATGCTAATGCCAATTTTAAAATTTTTAGAATTTCGAATCAAAAGCATGAATGCATGTGAAAAAAAACTACCGCGGACGTTTAGTTCATTTATGAATGGCCCAAGTTTCTAATACATGCTTTCACATGAATTCATGTGTCAATATATTGAGCGTAATTTTGATGATAATGTCAACAACAAAAATGATCTCCCGAGAAGATTCCGATAAAATTAGCTCATTGATGGGCACCTATTTGCTTCAAGGTTATACCTTATTAGATGATTATTGTTCTATTTGCAAGGTTTGTGTAATTATAACGCTACATTAAATAATATTTAATATATAAATATAATAACAATTCTATAAAATAATAAATATAATATAGACACCATTGATGAGAAAAAGAATGGAATTAGCATTCTGTATGTATTGTGATCATCTCAAAAAGAAACCAGATAATGAAGAACAGTGGTCATTTGCAACATTTGAAAGAAAATCTCAAAATGAAACCTTGGCAATGATAAGTGACGATCAACCAGATGAAGATAATTTCACACCTAGAATCAGGAATAAAATGCAAAAAATCATCATGAATATGATCGAAGATCTTGAAACTCAGTCACAAATCACAAACTTTCAAGGAAATGTGCGACAGAATTTAGAAAATATGTCATTATTGATTGAAATGATTGATAAAACAATTGTAATGATGAAAAAATTATGAAAAATTTTATTATCAATTTTTGTGATTAAATTTAATTTCCCATTTGATGGTTAATAAATTTGGCTATTTTTATATATCATAAGGAAATGAATAGAAAATCGGGAAATTACTTAATATTCCTTGTTTGTCATTGATGAATAAATGAAAAAACTTGCTACCACTACTACCTTAACTTAAATATGATTGAATAAATTGATTAATAATATGATTAAAGTATAATTAATCAAATAAAAAATTAAATGAATAATCAAAACTCGCTGGTTTAATTCTTCTTCATCCTTGAATTTAAAAACGAGCTGCAGCCAATGAAAAGCAGAGTTTGAAGACAAAAGGGAATTTTCCATCTATATATATAGTGACAGAATAAAATTAATTTGTAAATCGAATAGTTCAATTGATGATTGAATCTTACTTGGATTAGGAATGGAAACATGATTACAAATAACTAATGCTTCAATGGCGTTTGACACAGTTTCGAATTGAATCAAACCAGAAGAACTTCGTTCAGCTAGAATTTTTTTTCGAATTAGATAAGGAGAATTATGAAAACAATATTAACTTACTTTTCGATTGGAAAAATTTGATCGAATTTGGTTTGTTATTTGAACAATGTTCTTCAAAAATGTTCATAATATCCTGTTCAGTGATGCCATATGGAGCATTAAAGAAATGTAATACTTCGGCCGGTTGTGAGATACGATTCTTCAATGCAGATTCAGGATTAGTAAAACGATTATTACGATTTCCCATGAAATCTTTAAATGATGGTGTACCATCAGGTAATTCGAATGGTTGTTTAACATCATTGAGAAAAGCCTGTTTGGAGAAACCAAGTTGCATTTCATGGCCAAAAAATGAAACTTTATTCAACGAAGAAATTGATCGTTCAACCGAAATTGAATCACCCATCTGTACCATGGCACAACCTTCTTTGCTTTTCAAGAATTTGATTCGCACAACATTGCCATATTGGCAAAGCAAATTAAACAAACGGTCACAATTCATGATCTGATGATTCAAACCATATACCATAAGAACAGCACCTTGCTGCGGTCCACCTTGTTGTGTGACTGGAGTTCCTTGTATCAACGGTGTCTGACCAGGATAGCCAGAATTTGGTATACTTCCGAGAACTCCTGGACGGCCATCACGATAACTGAAACGAAAAATAATTGAAAAAACTAATTTCAATTTTTTTTTGAGAATTCTACATACGCATCGCCAGGTGGAAGGTAAGAATCCGGCATATATGGCGGTGCAGGATGACGAGTACCAGCATTGTATGCATCATGATGGCTGTAGGGATCTTCATCAAATTGAATGTTGAACCAAATTGATTAAAACAGATAAAAAGTGAAGATTAGTATGGAAGCTAATATATCTGAAAAGTGGAAAAAATTTTAATAAAAAGAAAATCTTAAGAATCACTGAAACTTACAATTCTCAAAAAAAATTACCATCAGTTACGGGTAGTTTACCTGCTTTTTAAAAATTGAATGAAAAAAGAATAATTAGATTAAATGATTTTTAGAAAAAGAATAGTAATTAAAACAACAGGCATAATTTTTTCCGAATGTATTGCTGTGTGGAAATGAAAAATGGAGTCTGATCAAAATGATTATCATTGGAAAGATAAAAAATCGATTGATCGTATCAATCAATCCTGAGCATATTTTTTTATCATTATAATTACAACACATTGGCGGCATAACAATTATATATTATAATTGACAATTCCTCACCTAATCCCGGATTTGTATAGTCGAAGCTTTCAAGATCATTCTTGTAAACGTTCAGACGAACTGGCTGTGATTATTTTGTGTTCGTAGTGATTCGGATCATTCGAATATTTGTTTGGTTTGGTTTTGGTCAAAATTCAGTCATAAATGTTTTGTGAGATTTATAGTTTGATTAGTTTGTTGTTTGTGATGTTGGTTGTTGTTGTTGTTGTTGTAAATGATGGTTTGGAATTTTGTTTTAATTGATGTTCGGTTTGTTTTGTTTTGGTTTTTCAATTGTTGTTGGTGGTGGTGATGGTCATGTCAGTTTTTATATTTTGGAATTTCGATAAACATCGAAAAGATAAGAAAAAAAGTACATTATTAATATTTTGTTTGTTATGAATTAGATCATCTTTTTTATCGTTAGAATTATGTTTTGTGACAAATCTAGTTCCGATTTTTCGGCTGAAAAAAATGAATCGATTTTCATTCCTCACTAGAGTATCAGAGTTTTTGCAAGTTTTTTTCCACTCTCATTTTTTCAATATCAATCCATTCAGAATCGAATAGCATACCTTAGCATATTCAACACGAAGTGTACAGCATCCACTATAAATGTCACATCCATTTAGGACACTTTTAGCTCGTTTAGCCGATTCAATTGAATCAAATTCGACCATTGCTTGAATGCCATTCTTTTTAAATATGACAATGCGCAACACTTTGCCGTTTGGGCTACAAATTTGATGAATGACTTCCTACAATAACCAATATTTAATAAATGAAAAAAATTGTATTACTGATTAGTACATACACATGTAATCGGATAGGCTGGATTTATGACAGTCAATAAGAGAACGTGATTAAGTCGTTCTTCATGCTCTCTGTATGCGTAACCAATGAAAAAAACATTAATGATATTTTAAATCAATTCAATCAATAATACCTTGGCATGCCGGCATAACGAGAATTTGAATGGCTAAAGTAGTTATTGTTGTTGAAACCACGATCCTGGAATAATTACCAACAAACACACATCAACAATATTGGAACAAATGAATTTAATAATGTATTTATACCTGATCAGTTTTTAGACGTTTTGATGAATGTCCCTCATATGTTGCAGCAGCCATGTTGATTTATTCCTGATGATTTGATTGATGAGAATTTCTAAAATCGAACAATAGAAATTGAATTCCCTCCACTTACCAAAATATGAATAAAGTGAGATTTGTAAAAAAAAAATATTATCGGTTAAAGTTGGTGAGTGTGTGTTTAACGTGTAGAACAACAGCGCCAGAGTTTTGTCTATTGTGTGTGTGTAGCGGTGTGCTCATCATCATCATCGCCTTATGCATAAATGTATGTTGGCAACAAACAAAAGGTGAATCCGTCAAAACGATAATCGATATAATCGTTGAAGATTCGTCCTTCACAATTTTTCGAAATTGTTTTATTTTAAATAAATTTTTTATTTAAAAAACAATTACAATAATAATAATATAATGTAAAAAAATGAACAATTTTTTTCATATTATACACAATAGAAAGAATCAATTTTTTATCATTTACTTAAATCCACCCGGAACATGAGATGTCGTGTGCAATTGTCGAATCATATTCTGTAGGCCGGACATGCCGCCCATTTGCTGTAAAACTCTAGGATCAATCATTTTGGCCATCTGTTGATTAAGTTTGGCCATCTGAGCTGGATTGACATTTTTGGCTAGATCACCACTTTTGAATAAACCTTTTATACCGCCCATCTTTTTGACCACGGCAGCAAATTTAGTATATTGTGATAATAATTCTTGTACTTCACGTTGTGTAACACCAGCACCACGTGCAACACGAATAATTCGAGTTGGCTGTTTTGAGAATAATTTGGCCCCTTCTCTTGAATCTAATTCTGAATCACTCATCGAATCCATAATGGTCATCATACGTTTCAATCGTGACATTGATTCAGCTTCGGATGCACATTTAGCCAATTCAGCACCAAATCCAGGTATCATATTAAGAATCTGATTGAATGGGCCCATTTTCATTATGTTAGTCAATTGTTCATACATATCCCTTATGGTGAATTCTCCATGTTTTAGTTTTTCGATCAATTCTTCATTATCATCAAGTTTCAATTCACTCACTTTATCTATAAGACCTTCAATATCACCCATGCCCAATAGTTTCGATATGAAAGGCCTTACTTTGAACGGTTCAAATTCATCGATATGTTCACCGGTACCGATGAATATTATGGGCGATTTAGTTGCAGCCACAGCACTCAATGCACCACCACCTTTTGCATGGCCATCCAATTTTGTTACGATAATCGCTCCAACATCAACTTTCGATTTAAATGCTAGAGCCTGTGCCTCACAAGCTTGACCAATCGATGCATCCATGACGTAGATGACCAAATTCGGTTGAATAGCCGCCTGAATGGCTAACATTTCTTCAAATAATGAGCTTTCCTGCTTATGTCGACCACTTGTATCAACAATAACAATTTCAAAATTTTCATTCGTAAATTTTTCCACACCTTCGGATGCAATTACGACCGGATCAGATTCCGTATATGAACCATAGAATGGTATTCGAGCTTTCGTTGCATTCTGTTTTAATTGATCAAAGGCACCAGCACGGAATGTATCAGCACAAACTAATGCACATTTCCATCCTTTTTTCAAATAATAATAGGCCATCTTTGTACAGGTGGTCGTTTTACCGATACCCTGTAGACCGACAAACATGATAACATTTGTTTTTCCTTTCACAGGTTGCCATGCTTTAACTTCTGGATCTAATAATTTACATAATTCTTGAAATACGGCACGCATAATCATTCGTCGTTTATTTAGGCCGGCTGCCATTTCATCGAAATCAATAACACGACGAACATTTTCACGTAATTTTTTTACAAGCATAATATTCACATCGGATTCAATTAATGCCGTACAAATTTCTTTGAGTAGTCCATCCAATACTTCTTGATTAATTATTGTTGCATTACCGAGCGACCGTAAGGCCGTCGTTATTTTTCTTCCTAAATCAGCTAAAACCATTTTCAATTTGAACAATAACACCAATGTTTACAAAAATTGGAAAACATGTGGTTATAAAATCACAAATGACAAAAAAATACAAAACGATTCCAACAAGACCAATAAAGAAGAGAAAACTGAAGAAATTCTATTTAGTAAAATGAGAAAAAAAAAGAATCTCAAGTTTAATAAATATCCAACTGGAATGATGAATAAAATAATAAAGTTGTGAATGTGGCATTCAAATACACACACACACGCGAAAATATCGAACTCAAGAAAAAAATGAACGACAAAGCTGAGTGTCGACAAAAACATACAAAAATTGACGTGTGAGATTATTCGTTTCTCACAACGTATGTGTGGTTTGTAGGAGTAGCAATTGGATTTCTGGATACGTTGCAGAAGAAAAAAAAATACTAAAACTTTATGCGCATTGGCGTCCAAATGGAAATCATTAAAGAGACAAAAAAAATACACATGAAAATTATCCAGATATACACACACACACAACAGGATCCTCATAATAATAATGTAATGTAATATTAATAATATTATTAATGATAAGTTGTTAATTTTTTTTCTCGTTACTCCATTTCGACATGAACAGCTCATCAAGAAAATTTTTCATCTTCATTGTTGATATTATGATTTTTTTCTATTTGGATCATCAACAACAATATAATTACAATTGATGATTATATCGTGTTTTTTTTGTATTCACAATTCTTTGAATAAAATTGATCCATATTCAGATTCTATTTTGGACAGTTTTTTTGAGATTTTATTTAGTTTTTAATATTATTGCTGAATTTCTAAAATTCAACCCAGATGTTTTGTTGTTCATGACGATGATGATTAATGATAATAATAATCATTGTTCCCATTTAGGAATCACAAATATTTCATCCTTTTTACGTATTTTATTCCCTTAATCACTTCGGATTCGATTAATCGATGAATTAAAATATACAAACCTATGCTAGTCATTATCCAAAGATATATAGTGTTTATGATTCGTTAAAAATTTAAATAAAAAACAACAAAACTCACTCAAAATTTCGACCGATTACGATTTTTTTTTTTGTTGTACATTCATACCATATGTTTCATATCATATCATGAATATCATCATACAGGAACAAGATTCCAAATCAAAAATGAATTCAAATAACAACTATAATAGTGATGATAGTGATATAAATCTACTGAACAACAACAACAACAATAATAATAATAATAATCCAATGAAAAGTATCATAGATAACACAAAGACGACAAGAGAATCACCGATGAAGGACGATATAAATTATCAGAATAATCAGAATAATAATAATACAACTGATCTTCAAGTGCAATCATCCTCATCATCGGCCAATAATAGTCAAATATTTGGCACACCCATCACAATCACCAATGAAACTATATATGAATTTGGTAGCCATTTTGAAAATCCATCACATGTGATCAGCGAAAAGGTATTTGATTGATTGAGTTCAAATTCGATTGATGAAATTGTGTCATTGTAATAATGACTTTTGTTTATATGTATGAATGTAGGTGCAAAATTTGGCATCACAAATCTATAATGAATTGCAAAAAATTCTTACTCGTTATAATGATGATGAAGAAGCAGTTAATGGTCTAATGCCATTGATAGTCAATGTTCTCGAAAGTTTGGATCTAGCATTGATTGAGAATCAACAGCTACAGGTCGATCTGGAATTATGTAAAGATGATAATGAACAATTAGTGCAAGCATTTGAAAAAGAAAAACAGCACAAGAAAAAGATTGAACAACGTTTATTTGAATATGAATTCTCCACTGAAGAAGAGAAACAGCATTACCAACAACATATTGATTCATTGGCCAATATTGTTAAAATGTTGGAGTTGAAGGCTAAAAATTCTTCTGATCATTGTAAGTGTTTGTGAAATTATGGAATTTTTTTTCTCAATCAAATTTCATCTGTTTTCATATTATCATTTTGATTATAGCCACCAGACTTGAAGAGAAGGAAAGCGAAATGAAAAAAGAATACTCAAAATTACATGAAAGATATAACGAACTTCGACGTAGTCATTTTGATTTAATGGAAAGAGTCAAAATCATATTGGGCACTGATATGGACAATAAAGATCAAAGCCTTAAGGAACCACCAAATTTTTCTAATTTATCCGGTGTATTCCGTACTAATTTACAGAAATTTGTTTCAAATGAAGATAATATGGAAAATTATGACCTAAGCGGAATGAGCACAATGACACCCAGAGTTGATGATGATGATTCATTTATTCATTCGAATAATTCATTTGTCACATCTGCCGGTACATCTTCGTTATCGAATCGTCAGGATCGATGGATCGAAACAGAAATGTCATATGATGATACCACCACCATTATTGAAGATGTCGAAGAATTACAAAAGGATAACAATAAAGATAAAAATAATCGTGATCAAAGTCTATCAGGTATTCTCAAATTCTTGATTTTTTTTAATCTTTTAAACTCTTTTCAACGTTTGCACTAATCACTTGCTTACCATGATGTAAAAATTAAGGGAAATATGTTCATCCAAGTGAATATTCTACAAATGGTATTCATTGATTAATTTGCTTCAAATTTTTTCCTCATTTTTTTTATCTCTTGTTTCACTTGCATCACAATTTTTGTGTCACTGTAACTAATTTAAAATTTATTTTTTTAGAAAATTTTTTCGGTATGGAAAAAGAAATTGAAAATTTAATCACCGAAAATAATGAACTGATGGCGACGAAAAATGCATTGAATATTGTCAAAGATGATCTTATTGCCAAAGTGGATGAACTACAAAGTGATTTAGCCATGTGTAAAAATGAAATACAGCAACGTGAAGCTGTTCAGGAACGATTAAAATCGCGAATATCACAATTGGAAGAGGAATTGAAAAAGAATAAAGAAGAGCTAGAAGATTGTAAACAAAAATTATCTGCATTAAAAGAGGTTCGTTTTATTTCTCTTAATTGATTGATGTTGTAATCAAATTGAATTGATGAAACAGGATGAAGAAGAAGGCGTACCAATGGCACAACGTAAACGTTTCACTCGTGTAGAAATGTCTCGTGTATTGATGGAACGTAATAGTTATAAAGAAAAATATTTCGAACTACAAGAAGCTTTAAAATGGGCAGAATTAAGCCGCGCAAGTAGAAACGAAGATAAACGATCGAATTTTTGGAAATTGTAAGTTATGATTTTTTACAATGAACTCCCCTAATTTTTCAAACTAAATATCATTGTCATGGAAACTATTTGTTCAATCTAATCTATGATAATAATTACTATTCTATCTATCCATTTAATTTTCAATGCTTACCCCTTAATCAACAAAAGAGGAAAAACTCCTTGGATTGGGTAAAACAATAGATTTTTTTCGAACTATTGGAAATTTTATATTTCAAAAAATGACTAACAATGTTTTTGTTTTATTAGTTTTAGTAATCTATTTAATCCAAGTCCTACGACTGGAACAATCGATCAGACTCGACCAACTTCCACTGGTTCGACGACAATATCGACTGGTACTCCTGCTATTCGTTATTCCGCGAATCCAACTGCAACCATACCAGCATTGGAAGCAATGAGACGTCGTGCTCGTGTGCAACAGAATGGTGATCTCGAATTAATGATGGATTCGGATTTATCATCAGAACGAGCTAGAGCAATGAAAAATCTTAAAGCACATGTTAGCCGCTCTGGTAATGGTGATCGTATACAAGCATATGGTTGGAGTATAACAGGTGCCTCATCATCTTCTTCTCCAAGGTTTGTTTATCATGAAAAATGAAATCAAATTTCATAATTCCATCAAAAATTTCAATATAGTTCTGATTCAACAAACAAAACACCATTCTCATTGAAAAATACATCGGTTCCTGTTCCTATATATTGTCGACCATTAGGTGGTGAAGATATAGGCATGAAAATCTGGTGTGCCACGGCTGTTGATTTAAGCGGTGGTGAAGCAGGATTCCCTGATACTAGTAATGGTAATTATAATCTTTCCAAAAATTTGATTCACTAAATTATTAATTAATATAATGCATTTAATTCTCAAACAACAACACACGCAGCCTCAAATAAGTCGGATTATGAAAGTGATAAAAGTAATCAAGATCCATTAACAGATTTAGAGAATGAAATTGATGAAGCAATCAAAGAGCAAACATTACCAACGGATCAACAATATTCGAATTTTGTTTGGATATGCAGTGTTAGTCATTCGAAAAGTAAAGTGACTATCGTCAATATACGTAGCAATCCTGGTGAAGTCCTTGATTCATTTTTTATTAAAACACATCTACTCTGTATTTGTTCAACACCTGGTGCTAAGAATAGTGATTTTCTTGGCGACCATGGTTTGTCGATACAACCTGAGGATCATCCAGAATTGTTTCTAAGCCATCGGAAAGAGAAACCATTAAATGATGTAGCTACATCGATTACATTTTCATCACCTGTACCCAGTATACAATCGGATATTTCAACTAATTTTGGTAATAAAAATTTTCAATTTCTGAATTATCAAAATTTAAAATTTTTTTCCCCGAATAGATACTAATTCGATCACTAATGAAGAATCAATATCGAAACAATTAAATATTGATGAGGCGATAAAAGCGGAAGAAGCCTCCAGTGTTAATTCAATGCCAATCTCACCGACATCATTAGCAACAGCAATTAATGAAAACGCAACGGAAGCCAAGAATGTTACATTGGAAAAATTAACCGAATATGTAGCATACACACAACCACCATCGCCTACAAATTCAATGAATGGTTGCGATGATGAAAGTGATCAGCGATCAAATAACCAGCAAAAATCGCATACCTCATCATCATCACCACAAGTAGAAACAAATACGATACGGTCATCAAGTTCATCATTGCCCATACAACCAATGTCAACACGATTACCGACAATGTGGCTTGGTGGCCAAAATGGTGTTTTATATGTACACTCAGCCATTGCTCAATGGTCACACTGTATAGCGACAATACATTTGCCCGATTCAATTCTACATATTGTTCATTATCGTGGACGAGTTTTTGTTGCATTAGCCAATGGTCAATGTTGTATATTCTATCGTTGTGAACATACGGGTGAGTTGTATTTTATTCTGAGAGTTATTTGCAAATTTTTTTTTCTTTTATACAGGCGAATGGAATTTCAATCAATATTACACACTCGATATCGGAATCTATTCGACTTTGATGAACAATCAACATTCATCAGCGGAAATGAATAATAATAGCAAGCAGCAGCCACAAACAGCATTGTATTCAATTCGTTGTCTGGAAATTGTCAAGGATGTTGTCTGGCTGGGTTATCGAAATTTGATATTTATTGTTAATACACGAACATTTAAAGTTGTCAATTCGTTCATCGCTCATCCACGTAAAGAAACCTATGTACGACATTTGGCTGCCATAGGAGATGGTGTTTGGTGTTCGTTTCGGTTGGATTCAACATTACGATTATATTCAGCATTTAAACCGTATCAACATATACAAACGATAGACATTGAACCATATGTAACGAAAATGGTCATGTCCAAATCATTCAATTTTGTACGAATAACAGCACTGAAAGCAAGTAATCATCGATTATGGATAGGTACATCTAATGGTGTCGTATTATGTTTACCTTGTGCCACAACGGCAACACGAAAATCAGATGATAATACGATGGCTGCTTTAAGTAAAAAAATTCAAACCACCGAAGCAACTGGATCATTAACAATATCATCATTTATACCATTATGTGATGTGGCCACCATACAGCTATCCTTTCATGGCCATAAGGATAATATTAAATTTTTTGTTTGTACAAATAATCTTATACTTAGTGGTGGCGAAGGATATATTGATTTCCGTATCAACAACAGTAATGATGTCAATTGCTCTCTTTCGAAAGGTGATCGTTCACATTTAATTGTTTGGGAAATTAATGCCTGAAGATAATACATCTGAAATACACTTTGTATATCTCCCCAACTTTTGTTTGTATATAAATCAACGATAAAATTTGTCATTTTTTACATCTCATTTCATCAGATTCTTTACTTTTCATCATTCATTATGTTTGTTTTGTTTTCACTTGTTTTCGTTCATCCATTTGTTTATGTTTGATTCAATTACAATTATGATTAATATGATTGTTTTTTTCTGGTAAAAAGAAAATCTTTGATAACACTTTCACACATGCAATGAAAAATAATTTTCAATCCAACGACTTGTGAACAATTTGTCAAAATCTTTCTTTGGTTGAAAACCAACTTACATTTGATTTTCATAAATAAAAAAAAAATATTCGAAAAAAATTATCGTTCGTTTGTCTCTTGAATATGCCATGTGAGGGAGCGATTATGTGTGTTTATTGAAAGCGAAAATTTCGACATTTCATGTATTAATATCTACCATTTAGTGCATACTTCTTCTTTGTATTATATCAGTGACATTGGTTAATAGAATAATAATAATCAGACTTGTTGAATGATCAAATCGTGTAATCATCCAATTTGATCGATATGATTCGCTACCGTTAAAAGGCATTCGATTTTCTAACTAAACTAAAAATAAACAACTCTCATTGAATTATTATAAACGTCAAAACGTCAATTTTGTGTATTGTGTCGAAAAAAAATGTCGAGTGAAAATTATTAAAAGAATTAATTAATTGATGATACAAAAATTGTAATTTTCCAAAAATAAATAAACAACAAAGAAAAAAAAATCTGCATCATCATCATTCATGATTAGTTAATTTTTTGATCTATTTTTTTTGTACTTTGAATTGCAAATTTTATTTTTTATTAATGCATCAAATATTAACTGTCGTTCCAGAAACCCTCAACAATATAAATCTATCAAATTACAATCAGGCCATTGAATAAATACTCAAACACAAATATATAATAAATGATATGAAGTGATATGGACAATAACTACAGCAATAATAGAATGAAATATATTGATGATCGCCTAGGAGTAAATGGATTATCGTCATCTAAAATGGTATTACAAGATCAAACGTCCGTTGTCGATCACAATCGTCACGATCATCGTAGTCATGCATTTGTTAAATCAACGCCGACAACAACAACACTGTCAGCAAAATATACGACACATATAGCAACAACGGTGAATCGAGATTGTTGCAGTAGCTGCTCATCAGGTTCTAGAACAGCCTCAACCACAACTAATACAGTGAGTTTATTTCATGAAATTAATAATTCCAATGATATAAACAAATCGAAACTAAATCATCATCAACAACAATTAGTGAATCATAAATCATTATCAATAATCGATTCTAATAATGCTAGTAAACTAATTAATAAAAATCGTCATCATTTTTCTTCATCCAAGTCTTCATCATCATCATCATTATCATCGAAAAAAATTTTCTATCTCAGTAAATCATATCTTTTAGCAAATTCCGGCAAAATTGATCGTTTCGGTTTAATTAACGCTTTGCCTGATGCTGAAATATCATCGAAAAATTATCCATATTACAACGAATCAGTACAATTCGAGCAAAGATCACTATTATTAGATAAAGTTGTTGATATTGATGGTGAAAGCAGTGATAGTGATCAACATCATCAACAACAACAAACAAATAATAATATTCAAGTATCGAAACGAATCGAACAATTAATCAATACAATTTTTCAGAATTTTTGGTCGCTACCAACATTTACTAGTAATAATCATCATCAACAACAACGAACAACAACGGTGTCTTCAGTATCATCGGAGGAAAGTGGTCTCGGATCGACCGAATCTGCAGCCCTATTAAGAGGTGTTGGTAGATCGGGTGGATCACGAGTGACCACAGCAATACACGGAATTAATACTTCATCTGCTGCAATACGTATTGATCCATACGATTCATTAGCTACAACAAGCCGAAATCGTGATCCTGAAACCAATGATTATCCGATCGGAAAAAAAATCCGTAACGGCCGAAATAAATCACGATCCTCAACAAAAAATTTTTTTCATTTCATATTCTGCGGTCTTTGCATGGCCTGGTCTGAATGTTTCAGCAGGATATTTCGTTTTATCCTGCGAAAAAAATCCCTTAAACCACGTATTGTACATGTTCGATCATCTGAAGATCGATATCGTAAAAATGAATTTCCACCCAATATTGTCCGTAATCAAAAATATACCATCCTGACATTTTTACCCATCGTTTTGTTCAATCAGTTTAAATTCTTTCTAAATCTATATTTTCTTTTAATGGCATGTTCACAATTCATACCGGCATTAGCGGTAGGTCCAATTTTCACTTATTGGGCACCGCTTGGTTTTGTACTTGGTGTCACACTTATACGTGAAATGGTCGATGATCTATTACGATATAAACGTGACAAAGCAGTGAATAGTCAATTCTATATGAAATTAACTAGCACAAATGGAACGCAAGCAATACCAAGTGCCAAGATTCGTGTTGGTGATATTATACTAGTGGGCAAAGATCAACGCGTGCCTGCTGATATGATATTTTTACGTACATCGGAAAAAAATGGTGCCTGTTTCATACGTACAGATCAGTTAGATGGAGAAACTGATTGGAAATTAAGACTAGCATTGACTACCACACAAGAATTGGATAATAATGAAGATATTTTCGAATTAGATGCCGTTGTCAATGTGGAAGAACCAAGACGTGATATTCATAGTTTTGTGGGAAAATTTGTCAATATTTCCAGTAAGTATTTTTCATGATTACAAAAATCATTATTATTAAACGTTTAAAATTGAAAATTTTTCAGATGGAAAAGAAGTGCCTCTATCGATCGAAAATACATTCTGGGCCAACACGGTCGTCGCTTCTGGTACGGCCATTGGTATTGTTATTTACACCGGACCGGAAACTCGATCAATGATGAACAATAATGAACCACGTAGTAAAGTTGGCCTTTTAGATTATGAAGTCAATGAGCTAACTAAATTATTATTTGCCGCTGTTGTCATATTGGCATTCGCAATGATCTGTCTCAAAGGATTCTCAGCCTATTGGTACATTTATTGGTTTCGTTATGTACTTTTATTTAGTTATATCATTCCGATAAGTTTACGTGTCAATCTTGAAATGGGACGTGTTGTCTATTGTCAAATGATTCAACGTGATATGGAAATTGCCGGTACATTGGCTAGGACGACAACCATTCCCGAAGATCTTGGTCGTATCGCATATTTACTAACTGATAAAACCGGAACATTAACTAAAAATGAAATGATATTTAAAAAAATTCATTTCGGTCGAATATCCTATAACCAAGAATATTTTGATGAAGTAACCGCCATATTACGTGCATATTATAATCCAACCCAGGTAACCAATAGTGGTGCTCAAACTGGGCAACCAGTATCGAATTATCAGACACATCGTCGTGAAAGTTCCACAGCATCAACGTCAAGTTTTACATTCGAAAGACGTCGTTGTCATATGCGTATTGATTCGTATGAAGTTGACCGCGAAATTGTTTACCGTGTACAACAATCAGTGTTGGCCATTGCCTTATGTCATAATGTTACGCCTGCCTATGAAAATCAATTTGAAACTGGTGGTAAGAATATTTCCGATTTTGATCAAGGTAAAATATCATTTGATTCCAAAATCTGTGTTCGTTATTAAATCCATATTTTTATATTATAGATCAAAATTCAATCAGTATACCAATGAAAGATGTTGGCATTATGTATCATGCGTCCAGTCCAGATGAAGTGGCCTTGTACAATGGACAGAAAAAGTTGGAATCACTTTGATATTTCGTGATATAAAAAATATAAAGCTTAAAAACCCGTTCGGACAGATAATGAATTTTGAAATATTAGAAATATTTCCCTTCTCTTCCGAAACAAAACGAATGGGCATCATTGTTAGAGATCTGAATACAAAAGAAATCGTTTTCTATTTGAAGGGCGCCGATACGGTCATGTCATCAATCATCACCTACAGTGATTGGCTACAAGAACAATGTGATAATATGGCTAGATCAGGTTTACGCACATTGGTTGTTGCTAAAAAAATTTTAGATGATGATCAATTTCAAGATTTTCAAGATCGTTATAATCAAGCTAAATGTAATATGAATGATCGTAGTGCGCGTATAAAGGCCGTATTGGCATCTCTTGAAAAAGATATGGAACTATTGTGCCTTACAGGTAAATGGTTGTTTTTTATATATAATATATTTGTTCACCTTCATGGTTATTAAATAATCTAACCTTGATTTTTTTTCTTTTGCTTACAATTGAACAACTAACTATTCAATCATTCACACCCTTGAACACAAATGAAAAATAGGTGTCGAAGATCGACTACAGGATGGTGTGGCAACAACATTGAAAGGTCTTCAAGATGCCGGAATCAAGCTATGGATGTTGACAGGCGATAAACTTGAAACGGCCATTTCCATAGCAAAATCATCGCAGTTGGTTAAAAAGATGCAGGAATTTTATGTATTCAGACCGGTTACAAGTCGAAATGAAGTGCATTTAGAATTGAATAATTTTCATCGTAAAAGTGATTGCCCATTAGTAATACGTGGAGAAGATCTTGAATTGTGTATGAAATTTTATTCGGCTGAATTCATGGACCTTGCTACACAATGTCCAGCTGTTGTTTGTTGTCGTTGTTCGCCAACACAAAAAGCCGAAGTTGTCAAAATGATACAGATGCGTACAGGAAAACGAACGTGCGCCGTTGGTGATGGTGGCAATGATGTTTCAATGATACAAACGGCCAATGTAGGCATTGGTATTGTTGGCAAAGAAGGTCAACAGGCATCATTGGCTGCTGATTTTTCAATACTACAGTTTTCCAATATATACCGATTAATTCTTCTTCATGGCCGTTATTCATATAAACGTTCAGCATCATTAAGTCAATTTATCATTCATCGTGGTCTCATCATATCCACATTGCAAGCAATATTTTCATCGGCATTCTATTTTGCATCGGTACCTTTATATCAAGGTTTTCTTATGATCGGCTATGCGACATTCTATACAATGTTTCCTGTATTTTCCATTGTTCTCGACAAAGATGTCTCACCCAGACTAGTCATGAAATTTCCCGAACTTTATAAATTAATGAAAGGACGTTCATTATCATATAAGACATTTTTTATATGGGTACTCATATCCATTTATCAGGGAAGTGTCATCATGTATGGATCGATTCTTCTATTCAATGATGAATTTATCCATGTTGTTGCTATTACATTCACGGCAGTCATTCTTACAGAACTTCTTATGTTGGCATTAACTGTTCGTACATGGCATTGGTTGATGATTGTAGCCGAATTGATTTCATTTTCATCATATCTGCTCACATTAATATTGGCGCCACAATTTTTTGATGAAAAGTTTATTCAATCACGAGATTTCCTATGGAAAGTTACCTTAATGACCTTAATTAGTTGTCTTCCACTCTATCTTTTAAAATTCTTACATCGGAAAATAGCACCACCAAGTCATCAGAAACTAACATAACACGGGTCAACCATATGTTTATAAATGTATGGCTAACCTCAAAATTTCATGGATCAAATTTATAGATTTTAAAAATCAATAATCACAAAACATTCAAAATCTTGTTCATTGTAATTTCTTTTTTTTTGTTTCTTTTCTCATTCATTTTTTATCAATTATATTTTTTCCAAAATATTTGAGCACAAGAGAAATATTTATTTTGAATTGATTATGTGATTCAAAAAAAAAAAATTAAATAGGGGTGAAATTGAAAAAATGAATAAATTGTTGTGATCATGTAATCTGGTGACTAAAGATAATGGCTACTATCGTCGTTTGTTTCCGCATCGTTTGTTTTTTGAAAAACCAAATAACAGTGGGCTAATTACTACGGAAATTTTTTTTTCGGTAATTGAATATACGACGACAGTTTAATTCGATTGGATTTAGATTTCGTTATGCATAGAGGCTTAATATATAACATGTGCTTCTTTTTAAATCATCAAAAATCACGGGACTATATATCTCGTTTGTTTATATAAAGATATTCGAGATATTGCTGCTGCCCATTGCTACCTGATAAAAATAACTACTCAAATATGCTCATTTGGTATATGAAGAACAGGATATTTAATATGCAAAAAAAAAATGAAAATTTTTTTAAATTTAAAAAAAATCTCACAGGTTTCTCATAAAAAAAATGAATCAAAAAAAAAAAAAAAAAAAAAAAAAATAGACAAACACGTAACGAGACCGACACGCGGATGCATTTTCACGATAAGTAGCTAAAATTGATTGCAATCAAGAGATCTAAATTTAAATTTTTTTTTATCTCCCACCTTTCTTCTCAATCTTGTATGCATATTTTTTTTATAATACTTGATAATATAATAACCATCTAGAATGGTTATGAGAAATGTTATGATTATTTATCAATCAAAAAAAATACGACCATTTCTGGATCGTTAGGTTCTCATTTCCTTGAATCTCGGTGAGTGTTTTTTTTATGAATGAATTCAATTATTTTTGCTCTAAGCTATTTGTTGATGTTGTTGTTGTTGTTTGTAACATCTTGCCATAGTCAAAGATTTTTTTTTTTTTTGGCATGTAATCGCCAATCAAGAAATAAACACCGTCAAATCGAATGAGACAAAAAACAAAAATTTAGCTGGACCGGAACTTATTTTCAGTCTCAAAAAAAAAATTTACTAGCTACCGATAAATTTTTTTTTCTACTTTGATTTTTGATTCATTTTTTTTTCTAAGCTGTGTGCAAAGTAAATGGAAAAAATTTCTCTTTTCACATATTAGTGTGGATTTCCAATGAGGTGAATTTTGTCAATTTTTTTCCTATACTCACGCGATAATTATCAACGATGATGATGATGATGATGAGGAGGAGGAGGAAGAACAATACGATAATCAACTATTTGGGCAAATAATAATAATAATTTCTATGAATTTAAGTAACGTTTTCACTAACGGTCTAGGTCGACAATTTTTTCTGTCTCAATCGGGCACGATTTTTGTTTTCGTTTTTTTTTCAAAAGTCGACATTATCATTATCAATGTATCATGTATATATGGCAGGTCAAACGAGGTGAACTAAATTTGGCTTAAATGCAATACTGACAATGGTTGTTGTTAATGTAAATTGGCATAGAATTAAAATCATTTTTAATATAAATCTTTCAAATGTGTTGTTGGCGACATTCTTCTTGAAAAAAAAATTTATTTTTAATGGTTCTTTTGCTTCAGTTCTAGGACAAAATACTAATTTAGATTTCCATTTTTTTTCAATTGAGATTACCATTCGTCGTTTGCCTGTTTTTATTTCTCTGTTTTTTTTTCATAACTCTTTTACATTAATATTTTAATCGGTTTCTACTTGTATTCATTCATTGTTTCTTGTTTGGAACAATGGAAATAATAAAAGTTACAAAGTTCAACTATCGACAACAGATTGCCGTTGTTGTCATCATCATTTTCTTTATTTCTGAATGAATTACATTTGTAGTAAATATACTACTTTTGTGAAGAAGGAATCAAATTCAATGACACGAAGACAGGCATCAATCATCGATCCATCATACGGTGAGAATGGGCAAAAAAAAAATTCATTTTTTTTCTCAAATACAGTAGCAGCTGTGATGGCTGCGGATTTGTTTGATCAGCATTTCATATATGTTAGCCATAAAACATGGGATGAAACTACTATGGGTGAATAATGAAACACACAAAAAAAATCTAATTAATCCTAAAAATAAATGATCAATTTTTTTTAATCAACACATAAACTGTAAACTGTGATAAATTCATACAACATTATAAACATCAGCAAGATGTTTGAATTCATTTCATAACCAATACACCAAAAATAGAATGAAAAACAGTAACAAAGTTTCAAAAATTCATTCATGAAAACCATATCGACCTGCCTGCTCATTAGTTCATTTATTAATTTATCAAATTAATTGAATGATGATGATAGGATTCCATATATCATGAAAAAGTGAGTAAAAATCGTATTAAAATGTTCAATTATAAATATCATCACCAGTATGGTATTTGATCATCATATTTGGTTATCATATTTTTCTAATTAATTTTAAATTTTTCATTAAAAAAAACAAACCGGAAATTGTTCACATCTCTTATTGCCTATGGCTATTAAATCTTTTACATCATCATTACTGGGTTTTCTAGATAATCGAATGTCACCGAACCGTACTAAATTGATCTAGATAGATTGCTTTTATTTCTCAATTTTCATTTTCATCCTATCGGACAGTATGAAATCGAACTCCTCTATATCCAGACATTCATACATACGATATGACAGGTTTTATTTTCAATTTTTATTACCATGATAAAATAATATGTCTCAGATATCACTATAGTAACTCATTAAACCAATCCAGACAAACAGATCGGGACTGATCAATCCATCGAATGATGATCACGTCCGGTGTGGCAATCGTTTTTTTGCTGGCGGTACTTTTTTGTCTAAATATAAATCCATTTCTTTCATTAAGAGTCTCACAACAATGATCAGTCGTCTCGATCAAATGGTCATCATGCTTTTTTTTCATCATTCAAAAACTCTCTATCTCTTTATCTTGATGATTTGACGATTTTTCATCCTTTGTCTCTTTCGGTATATTTTCTTTCGCTCTCACTCTTACTTTTCTCGTTTTTAAACTTTCTCTTTTCTATTTTGCTGCTTTAAGATTTTGATCATTCCAAACATGCCATTCCATCATTCATGTTCCATTTCATATTTTCTCTTCAATTCTTTTTCCTGTCTCTCTCTCGCTCTATCTCTGAAAGACTGGCCGATAAACAGCAATTGATCCATTTGAAACATACAAATAGAGAACTTGAAACAACAGCATAAATGCAACACAAAAGAAACACAATTATCGACTATCCACAAGAGTTTACAATTGCTTTAGCAGTATGTATGTGTCTAATACTATACAAGTAATATACAAGCAGTAATGTCGCCAAAAACGAAAAAAAAATTAGATGCATCACTTTTTAATTTAGGATTCAAAGATGTGACCAAATTCGTTCCATAACATCGATATCCACATGGATGGAACACAAACACACATAGGCATTGTGATCGTCAAAATGGAGGAGAAGTAAATGTTGTATACAGTTTCGATCTCAAATCAACCGTTTTTCTCTCATCATCAATATCATTTAAAATTTTTATCTCAGTTCCTTCAAACATTCCAATTCAACATATAGAAAAAATGTTGTTTGTTCCATTTGGAACGGGACCTGTCAGTCAAAGGAACGTCATTTATCGTCGTCGTCATAGTTGTCGAAAAATATAACGTGATGCCAAAATTTTTTCTCTTTGTGAAAATTTTTTTTCAATTTTATTCATTTCACCACCCAGTTTGCAATCATTATTTGTATTTATTTGTTTTTTTTTATTGTCAACCCGAATTTCGATGATGATTCGAATGAATGATTATTGTCAATAATAAACCATCTAGATTATTTTACCATCTACGACAGTCATCATCATCATCTTAATCATGATCGATTCAAAGTGATGTGATCATCATCATTATCATTATTTGGGACTGCATTTGATGTCAAATAATTGTTTTTATCTAGTTCTTGTCATTGATTTATTAAACGGAAATTTTTTTTTTCTTCTAGCGAATCCATTCTTCGTTATCTTCATTTATTTTTTATTTTTTATAATAACAATCAATTAACATTGTGATCTGAAAAATGATTCTAGCCATTTCGGCTAGTAATAATCAAAAGAGCAATCTTGATTTCATTTTTGTTCTATTTTCCTGTCATTATTCATCTATCTAATGTAGAACATATTTGACATTACAATGGATAATCATCGATAATCCATCCAGAGTTATAGTGTGTGTGTGTGTGTGTGTTAGTGTGTGTTTGTGTGTTTTTATGCATGTGATGAAAATGGTCGATGATAACCATTCATATAACCCGATGTACAGCAATGAAAATGTTTAATAACAATTTGATTGGACAGTGACGGAAAAGAAAAACACAAATTTGATTTTTGAAAAATTAATGTCTTGTTTTTTAAAATAAAATAATCGGGTTATATATTCTCGGTTGGAGACCATTAGAAGATTCATCATCGTTCATTCAATTTATTTCATTTGTATATTGTTGTTTTGTCCATCTATACGGAAATATATTTTTTTAGCCCGTTGTTCAACACAACGACAAGCATCGACAACAGTAACAAAAAAAAACAAAACGAACATCATTTTATAATAACTACAACAACAACAATATTGATCCAACATCATTGGCAAAAGAAAACAACAAATATGCCATTCGAAACCGAATCCGAAGCTGTAGGTTATGGTGGTGTAAACACCGTACAGCTATGTGCATATAGGCCATCAATCGAATCAAAACTATCATCATCATTAAGTTTAGATCAACATCCAATACAACAGGTGGCCGTTGAAGTGAATCGTGTTTGTCTATCATATGGCCGTGGTAATTCAATCAAACCGGTACTTAATTCGATTTCATTGAATGTACCCGAAGCGGCCATGTAAGTCTTTACTTTATTTTTTATTTTTTACTTTTATACATTACATAAATATACACACATTCATATGAATATGCGGAAAACCCAAAAC